AAATTGCTATAATTCTATATGTGTGGCAAGAAGTCCCTCTATATACATGAAAGCGGGGTTTTCCGCACACTAGTGTGAACTCCAACATACTCCCTAATCTAACCTAAACGGGAAGGTTGTTGGAGATCCTGAAGCCAATGTATGCTGTCAGGCATCTATTGGCTAATTACTATTCATGCCAGTGAGTGATGATATGGGTTAATCATATCTCATGGCGCCAGTGCATATTATTCTAATATGTACTATTTGTCTACTGCAGTCATGTTGCTGCCTTAATTACAACATGATCATGAGTCGTTTTGGACACCAGATGATCTAGATATCGGAGACATGCTTAAAGAGTCAGCAAACGATGTCATCAAATCGCTGGATATACCACAAACAGATACTAGAAAGGTGGTAGATGAGGAGGATATCCTAGATTTTTTTGAAATGGATGAGAGAGTGACCAGGGGAATTGTTGAAAACTTGAGTAAAATCTGCAAGGTCGATAGCATGAGTTGTTTTCAATCGGTTGATGGACAAGCTGAGAACGCCATAACAAAATCACGTGATACTTTTAATGCGCAGCTCCCTTCGCCGAGGGAGACCCCCGAGCCACCGCCGGCAGAGACGAACCACAATGTGAATACTCACACAAACAGTATCATCAGTCATCAAAGCCCATTAGTAGAGGATCTCAATAGAGAACAACAACCAAAGTCGAACACTGGAAACCGAAGTTTCCAAGGAATGGATACACGTAATATTTTGGAAGGAAAACGTTCAAGAAGAAATGCCCATTCAGCACAAAAACTAATGCAGGGTTCAGGTTATCACTACGCATTTTCGCTGGCAACTAGGGTTCCAGAAAAGGTACGTATTCATCGGAATACTCTTCCTCAAGCACCCAGGACTTTTCGACAAATTAATAAGCATATCCACTCTGCACAGTTCCAACAAGCATGTGATAAAGAAATTAGCACTCTTTTTGAAAAGAAGATGTTTGATTACGTTGACGAGAAAGATATTCCTACAAATGAAGTCACTCTACCGCTTATGTGGGTGTTAAGCTACAAATTTGATGAAGACGGCTTTCTGACTCGACATAAAGCTCGACTAGTAGCAAGAGGTGATCTTGAATTTAATCAAGATGACACTTACGCTTCTACCCTTGCAGCACAAACTTTCAGAGCAATGGCATCAATCGCGGCTGCATTCGACTTAGAGATAAAACAGTACGATGCAGTTAATGCATTTGCAAACGCAAAATTACCTCATCCAGTGTACTGTAAGTGTCCAGAAGGCTACGAAAAGTCAGGAAAAGTAATGAAAGCAACCCACGCAATTTACGGTCTCCAAAAATCACCATTGTTGTGGTACAATGAGATTACTTTGGGCTTGAAGAAGTTAGGCCTTTCACCTGTGCCTGAAACTAGTTGTCTCTTTAAAAACGACTGGCTAATGGTAATGATATATGTCGATGATCTCTTGCTAATGTATCATTCCCGATACGAAAAGAAGTTCCTCAAGCTACAATCCCAGCTATTAGCACTCTATGAATTTCGCGTTATGGGTGATGCGAGTCACTTCATAGGCATCCGAATCCTGCGAAATAGAACAGATCGTAAGTTGTGGCTGATTCAAGATAGTTATATCGAGAAAATCTCAGAAAAATTTAATATTGCAAGCGATAACATACCTAGCACACCTCTGCCTCTAGGGGTTGATTGGTCAACTTGAAATGAAAAAGCTGTTGTAATTAAGGCAGCAACATGACTGCAGTAGACAAATAGTACATATTAGAATAATATGCACTGGCGCCATGAGATATGATTAACCCATATCATCACTCACTGGCATGAATAGTAATTAGCCAATAGATGCCTGACAGCATACATTGGCTTCAGGATCTCCAACAACCTTCCCGTTTAGGTTAGATTAGGGAGTATGTTGGAGTTCACACTAGTGTGCGGAAAACCCCGCTTTCATGTATATAGAGGGACTTCTTGCCACACATATAGAATTATAGCAATTTAATCACAATTAACTATCCATTAAACATCAGTAAACTTCTTCGTATAGTAAACACATTTATCGTATCTCTTAATCAAACTCGAGGCTAGTGTGTAATTCTTCCAATCTCCGGAACTAATTTCAATTAAAGCAAGTCCGAATAAAATATCTGCCTATCAGCAAAGAGTTGGAAGTATAGGATTCGCGTCTTTTGCTACGCGACCGGACATTTCGAAAGCTGTTTCCGACCTCTCGGGAGTTCTTCATAACCCATCCCCAGAACAATCAAAAGCTGCAGAACACTGTCTTCGATACCTCGTCTGTACTAAGCATCTAGCTCTACAATTTGATGGCCTAGCTCAAGGTCAACGAATCTTTGGCGCATACAGCGACTCCGCCTTCGCAGATGATGTTAATAACAGATATAGCTCTCACGGCTTTTGCTTCTCACTTTACGGCGGGCCTATACACGGGAAAGCTATCAAGGGTAAGACAATGACCACATCGTCTACAGAAGCTGAACTTCTTGCAATTACGTTTACGGCTAAAGAGTTCATCCGATGGGTGCGCCTGTTTTCCCACTTAAAATTCGACCTTCAAGAAAAACCAACCATATGCTGCGATAATCTTCAAACAATCCGCATACTAACCAGGGAAGCTCCAAAATTAGATACGGCATTAAAACATGTCGATATTTACCAGAATTGGCTTCGACAAGAAGTTCAATTTGGGAACATTCAAATCGAATATATTAATACAGCTGATATGGTTGCAGATGGATTTACCAAAATTCACCCAGCGTCGAAACACGCAAATTTCTTACAACAACTTAATCTTTATAATATCAAGCCAATGATACAGGATGAATAATTTAATTTCAATATTTCTTATTAATTTCATTTACTCTAATTTTCCAGGAATATCTTCCATTCTTACTGATTTCAGATATCCCTGGGGGGGCGTATCAAACTGTGGATAGTTTGGAGGCGATTAATGTCAGATATAAAGTTTAAGGAGTTAGGTTTACAAAGCCAGGAATTAATTGACACTTTTTACTTTTACTTCATACATTTTTCAATTGACTCGTAGAGTCTAAGAGGGCCTTGCACTCGCCTTCCGAGTGCATATTTGATCTGCAATTCCAGCAAGCTGGAGCACGGGAGCAACCACGGGTGACGTGGAAGCCCAAACAGCATTTGCACTGTTAAATTTTTCGACGAGGCTTTAGAATGGTCGCCACTCCAGACTTGCCGAGAATACGGAAGCCCACGCGAGGGGCGGTGTCCCGGGCAAACAGGGCTTTCCAATTTCTGTACTGCGCTCCAGGAGGGCATGTCCCGTGCGGTAGCACCTGGGTTGGAAACTGCTGCGTTTTCCTGTATATTTCATGTATTATCCTTTCCACATCGATCGTATAGATACCGCCGACCGTTCTCATAGTCACTGGAACGTTCGCGATCCGAAAGGCGACAAGGTTGGAGGCTTCCTCGAACTTGGCGTTGAATTCCGCCAACTTCGGTGTAGCCTCTAGGAGCTCTTCCCTTATTTCCTCATTCCCTGTCAGAATAGCAAAGCCGGTTCTGACACGGTGTATAGTGCAGGCGTCACTCAGGGTGCACTCCAGCTTGATCTGTTGTTGTTGCCTTATTCCGAGAGTCGAAAGCTGGCGCCAAGGGTGCTCCTTTTCCAGGCGAAGGAACAGTCGTTTGTCGACTTTCGCCTTGGGAGCTTCTTTATTTAAGGCTTTGGCCGCAGGTCGCGGCACAGCCTTCGCAGTTGGGACTGCTTTCTGTTGCAGCCCGTTTCTGGCCACCGTAGCCCAGGTGCTTTTTATAGGCAGAACTGGGACGGCGGGAGTTTTATTGCTCCTGGCGTCGGGATGTTTTACTTGGTAGATGAAATGGGGAACGCACGCTTGCAGTGATGGCTAAGATAGATTGAATTGCAGTAGTTGAGATTGATCAGATGATGTATGAAATGTATATGGAATATGTGTCTATCTACATAGGAAAGATTAATGCTTTTATGTGTGGCCAAGTCGCTTACTAGCCAATCACTTGGACCACTCTGTTCATCCATGCTATTTCCCACTCCGAGGCAAATGCGCCAAACACATCATATGAGTTGTCTTCCCCGCAGATAGAACTCCATGACGTACCCTCTTCACGAGCACGACGTGCCTTATCTACTTTAGCTAAGCACAACACGGGAGCCCTTGGGAGATGGTTCGCCGGGCGTGGAGGGAGAATGGGTGGCGTAGTGGCCGGACCCGTGGCCATGTATTATGCGATGGCGGCGCGTAGATAGACTCGATGAGAGTCTACGAATTGTCTGTTTGACCCGCTGGTCAAAGGGAGGAGGGTTGCTTCGACGCCAGAGATGGCAGCGGAGCAGAGGGCCAGATTTGCTGCTGTTTCGGCGGCGCGTCGTTGTTCGGCTTCGACAATTGGTCGAAGTTCCGAAGGGCAATCTACTTTCGTGGCAGCTTTGGGCTGCGACGTTGATTTTGACGCTGCTTTGGGTGCAGCGTTCTCCGAGGGTATTTGCGTGGTCGGAGGAGGTTTGGACGATTCTCCAATCCCGTGGGGGACGGAGACTCGTTGAGGAATTTCCTCAACGATTTCAACTGACCCGACCATATCAGTATCGGGCTCAGCGACGGCAGGGATGGCTTTTTCTTTCCCTTTCATTGAGGCCTTGCTCATCTCCACGCATTTCGGAGACTGGACACGGCCAGATAATTGATCGAGAGCCCTCGGGCGGACTCTCGTGTTGTCCAACGTGGCGTTGGGACGCTTTTTACGAACAGGTGGCATGGTTAAAAAGCCAGCGACTCGATGACAATTTATTGAAGGAATGCGACGAGCGCGAGAGGGATGGAGAGGAGGAAAGGGTGAATATTCGAAAATTCGAAGTTCAAAAAAAATGTGTTTTTTTTTGTTTTTCGTCGGTCGGGGCGCCAAGCTTGGCTTAGGTCCTACTACCCACTAAACTAACTAGAGGTCTGGCCGCCAGTGACTACTGCCCTGGTGGCTTCTCCCTTGCTACTTCCCAACCGGGTTTGCAGGGTAATTCTATATTTCGTGATTGCGTGTAGCGTAGCACCTACACCTTTGCAGCTAGTTGCAAAGGCTCTTTACTCCTTTAATGTACTGCAACCACTCTCGGGATGCTACTTATAGATCCATTCAGAAATATTAAACCATCCATCCATAACGCAAGGCTCAAAGTTGAGGCTGAGTTTAAGATATATTTGTTACTTCCCTGGTATTTCTAGAGCAGGTCCTTTTGTATTACTCAGAAATATAAAGCCACTTTGCTACACATAGGGCCCCTTCCCAGGCTCCTAGTAAAAATCTCTTTGGATCCCTTGGAGATGCTGGAGCTCGAGGGTGTCTGTGGGTGGTATGGTGGCACTCTAGGAAGTGCAATGAGACTTTGAGCAGTCCGCAGCTACAATGAAGGTTAGCGCCCTCGTGATTGAAACTGCGGTGGTACTCTGCAAAGTCACCATGTCCTGAGCGGGCAGCGTATAGTCTAGAGAGAAACGGTCTGGCTAGAGAGAGTTCCTCAGGGTGACGAGAGTATGAGTCGACGACAAGCTCCCTATAGGAAGCTGGGGCATGTCGGGCCCAGTAGTCTTTCACAGCCGTCGATACTTCTGCTTTGATGCGATTTTTCGTGGTATCAAAAGAAACTTACCCACGGGGTATAGGCGGGGCTTTTGGAAACCCCTCCCGGGCAGAGGCGTTGGCCAAAACGTTACCCAATATGCCAGAGTGGCTAGGGATCCAATAAGCCTGGACATTCCCGGGAGGGAAGTGTGCAAGCCGGGTGCAAAGAGGACAGTCTCGGGAGAGGGCCTGTATTTGTTGGAAAATCACTTGCGACGAGTACATTGGGGACTGAGATAAAAGGCGAGTAACCTCCCATTCCCGTGATATATCCAAATATTTTCTGAGAAGCGTGCTGTTGGTAGGGAAAGCGTAGCTTAGAGGGCTTTTTTCACGGCGGTCACTTCTGTGTCGAAAGGTGACAGCTTCGAGTTAAGGGACAGACTCTTGCGGAATACCATCTGGCCAGCTTCAAAGATAAGGATGCCACCGCCTGTCCTAGGCGTTTCAGCTAGCTCGGGTCGAGCACCATCTCTGTAGACTGCTAGATAACTGAAAAGGATACCAGAAGGGAGAGTAATTGGAGGGTGCGTTTCTCGCCTTACACTATTATACCATGTCTCTATTTTGAGCTATGGCGGCTGAATCTGATGGTCGATCGTTTCAGTGTTCGGAATTTGGAGAGCTCAGCCCGCAAGACGGGAGACTAGACGATTGTGTGCCCGGGTCCATATGGCTCTTTGCCGGAGTGAGTGTCTAGGGCCTAGGCGTTGGATGTGCAGTGTCGCGAGCTTTGATTTAGAGTCCAGCTCTAAATCAGGAAGGAGGAGACCTGATTCGCGATACAAAATAGGGATTGACGTAGTCCGATATACAGGTAGATAAACTCTGGCTCCCGTTAGAAAAACTTTGAGAAGGGTGTATGAGTGTCCTTCGACTCGATTCGAGATGAGTCTATTGCTATATCTGATACGGCCAGGCCACCAGGTCTCTGCGCCATAGTGGGCGATGGGAAGTTTGCAAGCTAGAATGACTTGTCGGATAAGTTAGGGGGGCGTTCCTCACAGGGTGTTGCTGAGAGAACGGAGTACGTTGGTATTACGACCGACTTCAGGTTGGCACTAGAAGAATCCCTCGAAAGATAAGAGAGTAATTGCTTTGTATTTGGACCTAAAGCTACGCACGATAACTTGTTGGGAATCTGGACTCAGTATGTATGAAGGTTTAGATTTCTAGGTATGATCATCAAGATCAATTGGATTGATTTGATTACATATAGATAAGCTTAGCTGGGCGACATGAGGTTCAGTGGCATCTGGAATGCAGTGGCTAGGAAATGCTACCTTGCGATAATTAAGTGGCTGGTTGTTGCTAGATCATAGGGAGCTCGGGATCACTAAAGCCTCGGTGATCTGTATTTAAGGATAGACTTATCTGTATATGAGAATCTAAGTCAACGGAGTATTATATATTATTAATTCATATTGAGAAGAGAGTTTGATATCTCATACAACTATCAATAAATTCTTTTCCGAAATTCTACACTTGTTCTTCGAGATATTTCCTCCTCGAAATCCTTGACAATTTCTAACACGTAGCGAAGTTGCCGCCCTATTTTATCCTAAATCAGGAGGTATAACCCCCATGGCTTCATCAGATAGTAGCTGGGGTAGTGCAACATCCTCCAAAGTCACGACTGGTATTATTTTTCTCGTTGGTGGCTCTCCAATTGCATGGTGGTCAATGTAGAAGACAGCTACAGCACAAAGCACCTGGGAAGCAGAATATGCCACTTTAACATCGCTGGCTGTTGCTGCACAATGGATACGACCTCTATACGAAGAAATTTTCAACATCAGCTCTTCACCTATCATTACAGGAGTAGATAACACAGCAGCTATGATCACGGCTAACTCCAGTAAGTCTCAGCGCGAAATCGGCACTTCCTGATGCGACAATCTACTGTGAATGAAACTATTAGAGACGGTACCTTAGAACTAAAATATACACCCACAGATCAATATAAAGCTGACGGACTAACCAAGGCCCTGCAGCGTATAAAACACACAGCGTTCTGCGCTCAAATAAACATAGATTTAAAGCATTTGATTTCTGGGGGTGTAGTGTTGGAATGACGCATATCACGTGATGCACTGTAACTATATAATAATTAGCTAGTCAGAACACAATGAAATCTTCATGCTACTTCACTACAGCTCTCAGTCGCGTTTTCGACCTCCACGGTTAGTGGAACGGCAGCGACGGGGCAAGGCCGGGGTGGTGGACATTCTACAAAGGCTCTGGGATGTCGAGATCGGCTGAAGGACAGAGGGATTCTACATGAAGGAACAAAAGGGAACACAAACTGAGGAGGTCTTGGTGGGCAACTGGATAAGGCCTCCAGTAAAGAAAAAGACCCCTAGATAAGATGAGGAGATGCTGAGATGAGCCAAAGCTGGGACTGAATGGAAGGGAAAAGATACAGACGGCGAAGGTGTCAAGGGCTCGGGCTCGGGCGCGTGGTAGCCGAGGCTGAGGAGGAATTTGCGCTTCGGCGCGCCAAAAGGGGGTTCCATGGACGGTTGGGCTTGACATGATTCAACACATGGGTGAAGTCTGAGGTGGTCTGGCCATTTAGGTGGGCCGAGGTAGATGTACTTAATGCTAGATAACCTTATCCAGCCCAACCCCACACGTGCTTAACCTCCAATAGGAGTGCAACGGTAGTCATGTAACTTGCACGTAAATGAACAAAACAAAGGAGGGAAAGACTGAACACCTGTATGCGGTGTCCTCTACGAACATGGGAATGAAATATTCTCCCGGAGCCATGTTCAGTCAAATTTCGCAATATCAAAGAAGTTGGCCCACGAGGCAAAAATTCAAATTACTCCACCATGTCAATCTTTCACTCCCAAAGAGTCCGATTCTCAACTAAGCTTCATCAAGTCTACAAGTACGACCAAGTATATCCTCATCCCAATGACCACACCTCTCGTCGACTTTCTCTGGCCCCGCCCACCAAATACACGCCCACTCCGATATTTACACCCGACGGAGGAAGCAAAGTGTGGCGCACAAATCTGGATGACAATTCCTTGGGATGGATGTGAGAGGGATCAGGACAAGTTTACAAGATGATGCAAAGGAAGGATACCCACTCGACGGGCCGGAAAATTTTAATTTTGGCAAGAGTTTTACGAATTGGGCTTTGTGCGCGCCAAGACTTCGCTTGCGAGAGTGTAGCTGACAATATAAACAAGTCGACGATGGAAGGCGTCGTGATCCGCCCCCTGGTGATGTTCTCCGGTATAGTTTGAGTAGCCTGGGCACCTATTCTACTTGGGAAGGAGACATCTCAGATTACATTTCGCGCGGAGAAAAGTTAATGGTTGATGGAGGTATATCTGGATAACTCAGGGTTTTGAGATGTTCCCCTGGGAGGGTATTCACGGATGAGGGTTGACTTGGGGTGAAGAAAAAGCCGCCACAACTTCGCAGTGGTACTTGCAAATGAAATCCGAGGCATGAGTGCTCCTCTTGTAAATTGAGTCCTCTTTTCTGTACTTTTCTTTGATATTGTGTCATAGCTAGATAGCTGCATACGCAAATAAAATCTGATGCAAAAAAAAAGGGGCAAGAGCCTGCTGAGGTTCCTGATGGATTAGTATGTGTGAAAAGTGAGATAAGCTTAGCTTTAAGATGGCGTAGGTTACGGGTGTCTCGTGGCTCCAATCTACCAATATGTATAGTAGAGCTTAAGACTAGATGTAACTTGGTTTTCTATTAATACAGGGTATCGTCTATAAAAGTACAGTATTCCTAATCTTGCGCCCGGACTCCAACATGAACAACATTACATAAGCATTACAATTTATTAGAGCCTCGTACTAATCTAGAGGTCTGTCAATCTTGGATCCTCACTGCCATCTAGCGCTATACTGGAACTCCACTGACTCTGAACGGCAGTTTTGTTTTGTTCTTTTTTTTTTAATCATTTAATATGTATTCAGTTATCTAGCTATGACACATGACCGATGCTATGTATACATGTTGGATGACTCTTTTGATGTTAGAGACACTCATACTCTGGATTTCATTCGCAAATACCACTATGAGGTATACTTGCTTACACAAACAGTCGACCCTCCTCCGTTAGTACTCACCAAAGGGAATTTCGAAACCTTTGATTATCCAAGCATGCCTTCCTCATCCATGCATACCAGCGCCGCTAGAAAAGTGGTTGTGTTTTGCTGGATTTGAAACAGCGATCTACTATCTAAAGTGGGATATATGTCCAAGCTATCCAGACTCTACTTGGCAGACCGGCCAAGAAGATGTACCACCGCACCATCCAACCATGGCGGTGTTTATAGTGTGGCCTGCACTCTCGCAACCGAAGACTTGGCACGCACAAAGCTCAATTTGTAAAGACTTCTTTCCAAAACTCAAAATTCCACGCCTGTCGAGACTGTATCCAATCCTCTGCATCATCTTATAAACTTGTCCTGATCCCTCTCACCTCCATCCCAAGGAATTATCTTCCAGATTTGTGCGCAACGCTTTGCTTCCTCCGTCGGGTGTAAATATCGGCATGGGCGTGTATCTGGCGACCAGCTGAGGCCAGAGAAAGTCGACGATAGGTGTGGTCATTGGGATGAGGATGTACTAAGTCGTACTTGTAGACTTGATGAAGCTTATTTGAGAATCGGACTCTTTGGGAGTGAAAGATTGACATGGTGGAGTAATTTGAAATTTTGCCTCGTGGGCCAACTTCTTTGACATTGCGAAATTTGACTCAACATGGCTCTGGGAGAATATTTCACTCCCAGGTTCGTAGAGGACACCGCGTACAGGTGTTCAGTCTTGCCCTTCACTCTTGCCCCTTAATAAGTAGTCTATGCGAGACGAATTCCTTGAGCCTAACACTAAAACAGCGTTGGATGCGGCATTTTCAGTTTAAGTATAGATATGTTACCTTGCTCTTACAGATAGTTGATGGACGTCACGCATTGGCCAATTAGAATTGAATAATTGAGCAGAAAATCACTGACTTTAATCCTCGTACACGAACTTGGCTCGATACTTGAGCATTCCATTAAGAGCGAATCTTCAAACTCATGAATTGGTGAAATACGCATTCTGTAAAAATATCTAGACATCCTCTGATAAGGAAAGAACACCAGCACAAACTGATTATCGAAATCCCCCCCCCAATAAAAAGAAAGATGCATGAGTTTTAAAGATAACAGGATCCAGTACTCTTCTCAAAAACGCCTTTTCCATGCGTACAATTGATAATTTTATTCACTGAAAGTTATAAAAGCGAAGAATTGGGTATCGTCTTATTCTACTACTGGTGCTTCGGTTTTAATATTTACTTTTTTGCATGCACCTTGCTCATTACTCCCGTCATCTTCGAGGCCACGTTTTTTAGAAGGGGAATTGTCATGTTGATTTTCAACAGATTGATTAGGGGCAGATTTAAGATCGGCATCGTTTGAATTTGCTGCTACTGATTCAGAAGATTTTTGTGCCTCACATTGGCGGTTTGGATTAACGCTAATAGCGTTGGGATTTGATTTGTTTTCCCTAAAATGAATAAGCATGAGTGTGCACAAGTGTTGAAAAACTTACTGGTTTGAGTCCTCGCCTTCCTGCTTCCGATCAGAGTTGCGATCTCTACCATTGCGGCACTTGTTCTCGCCGCGTCCCCGTCCACGACCTCGACCTCCTCTATTTCTGTTTCGATCATCCTTGAAACCAGAAGCTCTGTCGTCTTCTCGTCGCTTTTTCCAGTCATTTGGATCGCGATCATCTCTATGACGGCCACTCTGTCCCTGGCCGCAACGGTTTCCTCGTCCTCTTCCTCGGCCTCTCCCCTGAAGCCATTTATCGCTGCTTGCCGGTTCTATCGTGCCAGACTTTATTTCTTCCATTTTAAGGTCCATGTAAGCCTTCTTTGACATAACCCTTAGCCCATGCTCGCCTTTCCAGAGAGGTTTATTCGGAAGGTCGAGAAACTTCTGAGCTGTCTCTTCATCTGCGAATTCTACAAACACAGAGCCTTTGAATAGTTTCTCATGTGTACGGCGTAAGCGCACAGCATTTGTAGGGCCATAAGGTGCGAAAAATGCCTCAATGTCGAACTGGGAACTCGGTTCTTCGTTACCGAAACCCTTCGCATATATTGATCGACTCTCTGCCTTATTTCGTGGAGTATTAGGATCAAACGCAGTTCTTCGATTAACTACTTCGGCACCCTCCTCACCGCTTACCTGTAAGAATTTACTCTCCTTAAGGGCAGAAACTACAGCCTCATATGGGCTAAAACGTCTCATCCGACCAAACTCACAAATTTTCTTAATGGAAACAGGCACGTTGGAGCTGCCCTCAGTTAATCCCCACATAAACTTGTCGGTTGGTAAATTTGCATCCCCAAAATAGAATTCGACCTAATGTACTATTAGAAACTGCTTTGTCAAGATATTTCTTTACATGTACCTGTGCTCTAATCTTTTGAGGATCATCAGTTGTTGGTAGAACAGAAGGGTCGTATTTACTGTTGCTGACACCTTCTATATTCCGAGCAGTAGCCTTTAGAACTCCATCTGGGTATGTGGGTGGAGTTTCCTTCCCGAAATTTCTGTCCATCACTCTTTCTTCCAAGTGTTCATTTTTTACTGTTTGATTTTCCTCCGAGCTCTCTTCCTTTACTGCTTCTGTTTCCTCTATGTTTGAAAGGATATCATTGCAGGGGGCATCGTTGTTATCGTGCTCATTTTTTATAGTTACAGTTTCTGTTTTATTTACAGTTTCTGTAGGCTGTATTTCCTTGGATTTGAGATCTTCTTCGTGGGAAATGCTTTCTGACACTTCTGATTTGGGGACTTTGGTTTCTGGGGAAGACATTCTCTGATTTAATTGAGAGCGATTAAAACAGTAGAGTTATATCAGAGATAAAAAGTGCAGCTATCTTTTGAGATTATTAGAATGTTGTGGAGAACTTGTACTTTGATTTGTGCTTCTCTAATGGAGTGCAAATGAAGTTTAAGGCGTTAATTGCTGTTAAATGTTGTTGAGTGAATGCCGCTTAACTGATAGCGGGGTGCAATTTGATAAATTTGTGGAATTAAGCTAGATTCTTAGTCCGTGGTATGTTGACGAGATATTCAACAATCGGATTGCGATCGTTCGAGATAAATTTGCTCACTTAAATATTATTGCTTTCTGAATCTATACGGTCAATAATTGGCTTATGTTTACTTCGCCTGAAAATTTTTGGACCCTGACGAATAGAGTCAAATAATTTTTAGCGGACGCTAGTACCGCTAGCGTTTTATTCAATAAACGAACCGTTCCTGACATGGATCGTGATATATCTATCGCAAGAAACAGAGGAACTGCAATATTTATACCCAGAGATGGCGCGAAAACTAAGATTTCATGGTTTGAAAAAACCGGTAACCCAACCTCGACTGCACTTGGGCACCCCAAACTGATGAAAATTTATTAGAAAATCCGCGCATCATGGAACAAATACAATCTATACAACCTTTCGCGAATGAGACTACCAAACACGTCATTTATGACATATTTTCAGCAGAAGTGGAGCGCAAAATCACTTGCTCGAGCATACCATGGTGACAAAATAATTAGAGAGAAGCAGTGGCAGCGAATGTTTTCTCCAAACATGAACGCAGTGATCCCTGTTGATCACAGGTATCTTGCAGAATTCGACGGCTCAGAGTTAGCAGAAGGCAGAGGTTCCGGGAAGGAGGTCAGGCCAAAACTGAATGATGAACCATCAGCTCCCATAAAGAAACAAATCCCATATATGAATATGACCTTTGCGCCACTAGAGAGAAGGCTAGACATGGCCATTTTTCGGTCACTATTCGCAAGCAGTCATAAACAAGCCCGACAGATGGTTGTACACGGCCACGTAAAAGTTAATGGCCTAAAGGTAATACCAAAGGTTGTAAGTCGAACATAGCACTCACATCTTTCAGATGGCACACCCGGGCTACCTCCTTAATCCTGGAGATATGTATCAAGTAGAGACCGACGTCGTACAACATGCTACCGGCGATCGGTTAAATAAAGAAGAAAGACAGCTCAGAAAGGGATTCCTCCGTCGAACCAAAAAAGCTAGATCACGGAAATCAGAACATTATAGCGCCTATCTCCAGAAGGACGTGCTTGCAGCTCCAAAGTCTGGGACACACAACGATGAGCCTCGGAAACGCCGGTATTGGCTCAAGAAAATGCAGAATTTATGGACATATATCACCAAAAACTTTTCAACCTACCAGCCCACTCGTAAAATTAAATATCGTCAACTAAGAAGTAATATTGAAAAGCTTGTTGCAAATTGGTATGAAATGCCTTGGAAAGAGGTGGATAACGCTATGAAGAAAGTCGCCATAGAATTCCGAGGAGCTCGCTTTCGTTTTCCGAATGAGAGTCCAGATCGCCAAGAATGGCTTCTTCGTCGATTAGCGATAGATAGGAAGCGTAACGCCGAAAAACGTCAAAGAAAGCTGGAGAGACTATATCCAAAGTTGCGAGCTAAAGAAGAAAAGAAAAGAGGGCCTAAAGCAGCCCTCCAGAAGTATCCAGACCTCCCAAAACACGAGTCACGACCTGCTTTACCAGCGCCACCACCACTTACCGCTACTATTCCAAAACTCAACAAGAAATATATGACTCCTGCAGGCATCAATATTTATATGAGCTACATTGAAAGGCTACCAATCATGACGAAGCGACCTTACGAAGGCTATATTTACAAGCTAAGCCATAAGAGGCTGAAACGTATCAAGAATGTGGGGGTTTCTATTGATAGCGGTAGTAAATCGTATCCTACACCCTGGCGCCCTAGAAAGTTTATGAGCGCTTTTGCCTTTATCCCCCGCTACCTTGAAGTACGTCAGAGTATATGTGCCGGTGTTTACCTACGACATCCTGTAGCGAGGCCAGGCTTATCTGAAGTACCATCACCATATCCCATGGAAATCATGCAACTGGCTTACAATTGGTATCTACGCCGGCGCTAGAAAGCCAACTCTAAGTAGTATAATATAAAAAGTCTTTTTGACTTGTACATAAATTATTTAAATTGGGGTGCAACGGGATTTAATGACTATATTACTGCTAGCAGTCGGAAAACAATAAGAAGTACCACACTGCAAAATATCTTGTATCCTAATCTACTATATCTATGTTCCATCACTATATCAGTATATTAGTAAGTAAAGTTGGAATCTAGCGTTATCTGGGTATAATTTTAATGCTTGATGCAATCATCACTTCTAGGCCAGCAGCAATGAGAGTATCCATTGTCTGGCGATCTACCAACCGCAAATCGCTATCAGTTGATAGATCTAAGCTATGGGTCCAGTTAACTTTATAAAATATTACTTTATTTTGAGTCTTGGACTATAGATTGCATATTTTAGAGAACATTCGTCACAAAATTCTAATATGACTAAATGCTCAAATGATCCGCAGCAAACTTTGTGATTTTCGACTTATGAATAAATAGGACAATTTACGTTCTGAGTTGCCGAGTTGAAAATCGTGAACACCGCAAAACCCAATTCGATTCCGAGACATAGGCTTTTTATCTAACTCACTGACTCTGAGTCTATCCCGATTTGGTGTAACGGCAAGCAAGCCGATATATTTCCCGTAGCCTGTGCTGAGATTCACAGGCATATTTCTTCATGTCAGCGCTAAGTTGGGCACACATTGAAAGTTTGGCACTGCATATGCACGAAATATTGTTGGTAACTAGCTCACACCTGGATAATGAGAGCCCTACTGGTGGACAGCTACTATTGTTCGGAATATTAGAATCATATGTATACATATGGCGTTGGATGTAGCAGTCTTTTTCTTCAGTTAACAAATACACTTACCCTTAGACATACAAACGCCCAAGCTTTATTTACCGGAATCGTTACATGGGGGGCAACATCCTAACGTGTTGTTGATTGGACAGCAATTTACCTGCCGCTAACATAGTCTTAGACTCAGAAGGGACTATAATAAAAATTCTTATCTTATCTTACCTGCCGCTAGCAAATCATGTTTTTGTATTTGATTTCATTTAACCCGATCAGGCATCCTATGGGTCCATGCAGGTGGCTATCTTCATTATTTATAAATGAGGAAACCAATTCGGCGAAGATCCTCTGATCCTGTCCGTTTATATTCCTAACAATTTTTTTAGTTTACCTTCAGGAAGTGCAATATACACTGTTCAGCCAGTGTGGATTCCGTCTTCTCTCCTTCCAGATCGATTGATTTTATCCGACATTGCCACCTCGACTTTCCCTGTAACTCGAAACTGTTTTATCCATCCTGTTGAGAAATAAGTCTAATGCATTGCAATTCCAGGATCCTCATGACCCTTATTATGGGTCTGAGTTGTCATCATTAGCCAGGAGTTAGGAGAACCGGAGAGCAAGATACCCTGTACAATTAGCTTGTTTATCACGTGGTTATTGGGTTGTTTTGTTAGCATGCACGGACCCTCACTCAAGATGTAAATCTCGAGTGTTGGAACCGTTTTGATGGATAATTATTTTACACCTCTAACGAGTTGATTTCATAGACAAGTCTACCTTCCATGTTTTATATTAGAACTCCTTAAAGTGATCATTACACAATACAAGGACTAAGTTTTTAAAACATCCTTTAATAAGTACCTACTTTGTGATTCCAGCCATATCGTCTGGGCTGTCCATCATTGCTTCAAATGACCTGTCTATAGCTTGTCGGAGAAAGTCGACTCTTCCATTTGCCCACTGCGGACACGCCAACAGCATTTGCTTGACGCTTTGGGACGGATATCCACGTTGACAGCTTGACTTTTCAACTCCGGGTACTTTCTTTTGCACAGGTAATAATTGAGCCTGATATGCTCGCTTCTTAGCTGAATGGCGACACTGCTTTGGGCCCTACTTAGGTTGCGGTGGATGTTTGCGGGAGTATCTTTCAAGTTCATTTTGGTGCTACCTGTTTGTTCGATAGTAAGAATATTTGCCGCTTTCCAATATTCTGGATGATACATCATATTAGCAGACATATTATACACAGCCAAAGCTAAGCAACCAGCCTACCCGTAATTATCGCGCGTATAGCTATCTTTCCAAAGACTGTGCACGTCTCCGACATACTATGGTGATAGTCCACTGACAAAATTCGGAAGATCTAAGCGGAATGCCTTCAAGAAGCAGTACAAAGCAAAGGACAAAATATCTATGTTAGGTACTTGTACAACGTTACCTACTAGATAGCTAAATTCTGTCGCATCTTTTTTCAAATCATTTAATGCGTATTCAGCTATTTACGTACTTAGCTGTGACACATGACCGGTACTATGTGTACATGATGGATGACTCTTTTGACGTTAGAGACACTCATACTGTGGATTTCATTCGCAATTACTACTGTAAGGTATGCTTGATAATTTAACGAAAATAGGGGACAGCTTAATTTCATGTAGGAATACACGAGAGGGTGTGCCTAGAATGAAGTAACATAATTTGCACAAATGGATATAAAATGAATAACAAATTTAAGAAAAATGTACCTCATGAAGGACAATTGTAATTTAGAACATTTAATTAGATAGAAGTGTTATAGCTCTAGAGCTGCATACACAATGAAAAAAAAAAAAGATATGCTTGCTTACACAAACAGTCGACCTTCACCGCAAGTAACTGTTAAAGGCTTACCGCCTTGTATAGTTAAAATAGGAGTTGTCCGATTCCATTTGTAACGATTGTTCACGTGACATTACTTGGTAGCCAAGTTCGGGTGGGCTACGTAAGGCTCAGTATACTCTTGATCGCGTAGCTCATCAATCCTTTCATTACACAGAATATAAACTCCATTTTGGAGGGCAAAACTGAACACCTGTACGCGGTGTCCCCTACGAACCCGGGAGTGAAATATTCTCCCAGATCCAAGTTCAGTCAAATTTCGCAATATCATAGAAGTTGGCCCACGAGGCAATGATTCAAATTACTCCACCACGTCCTTTTTTCGCTCCCAGCGAGTTTGACTTCTACCTAAGTCTCGTAAAGTCTACAAGTACGACCTAGTACATCCTCATCCCAATGACCACACCTCTCGTCGACTTTCTCTGGCCTCAGCCGGTCACTAAATACACGCCCACTCCGATATTTACACCTGACGTAGGAAGCAAAGCGTGGAGCACAAATCTGGGAGATAGCTCTTTGGGATGGACGTAAGAGGAATCAGGACAAGTTTACAAGATGATGCGAAGGATGGATATAATCTCGAAGGGCGTGAGATTCCGAATTTTGGCAAGGAGTTTTACGAATTGAGCTTTATGCGCGCCAAGACTCCACTTACAAGAGTGCTGTTTATTCTATTAAAATAAGAAAACGCTGGAAGGTGTTGTGTTCCGCCCACTGGTGGTATTCTCCGGTATAGTTTGAGTAGCCTGGGCACCTATTCTACTTGGGAAGGAGACATCTCAGATTACATTTCGCGCGGAGAAAATTTAATGGTTGATGGAGGTATATCTGGATAACTCAGGGTTTTGAGATGTTCCCCTGGGTGGGTATTCACGGATGAGGGTTGACTAGGGGTGAAGAAAAAGCCGCTATAACTTCGCAGTGGTACTTGCAAATGAAATCCGAGGCATGAGTACTCCTCTTGTAAATTGAGTCCTCTTTTCTGTACTTTTCTTTCATATTGTGTCATAGCTAGATAGCTGCATACGCAAATAAAATCTGATGCAAAAAAGAACTCCATTTTGGATTCACTTAAGCGGATAGCTAGCGTGACCAGTCCTTTTACAGTACCCACCAAAAGTAATTTCAAACCCTTTGATTATCCAAGCATGCCTTTGTTATCTATGCACACCAGCGCCGCGAGAAATGCAGTTAAGGTTTGCCAGATTCTAACCAGCGGTCTCCTGTCTCGAGGGGGAAATGTATCTAGGCCTCGCCCGGCTGGGGCCGTAAGCTTTTTAATACTTTTCACGCGCACGCAATTTTCATGGATACAATTTTCACTTTTCAGGGTAGAAGGTTCTATGGAAAAGGTGGCTTGATTCCACGGATAAATACTGAGCTGAATGGCTATCCATCACGGGCAATTTATCAATGATTTTTCAAGAAGCATGAGAGGCAAGAAGCACTTTACAAGGTGTGGCCTTGATCAGAGAGGGCCAATGTGCTACATAGTCTAAGATTCAAGTAGTACAATGCCATGGTTTAAGTATAAAATGCGTGAGCAATCTTGTAATTATAGAATGTTAATTATAATTCCCTGAAGAGAGAATTTCTACAGCTAGACAACAAATATATATACACTCTAAGATACTCCTCTTCTACAAGACTCTCCCTATGCCTAGAACTATATTGACTCTTGTCCAATTCCCTAAAAGATTCTTGATACACCTGTGTTGTGTTATCCATGCAACTTACCATGGTACATGCTTTAGGTCGCGTCATAGCATATGCACGTGACTGTGGAACTAAACCGTGGGGTGTTTAGTGTGTAATGCATGTGTGATGCATGTGTGGGTATACTGGACCAAACTAGAACTAGATGGAATAGATATAACGGAATCAGCGAGAGACTGATGGACTGAGAGAGAACGAGCTGGTCATTTCTCGTAGGAGTGAAATGATATCATAAGGGAATGTTCTAGCACTAGACTGTGAACAACACAGTAAGTCTGGAGCAAGATATAAGGAGGTCTCAACCTCCACCCATTCATCGTAATTAAGTTTCCTTTACAAGAGAATATAGAGTCAAGTCTTACATATCACGAGAACACACGCGACAGCGACTATAGAGACCTACTGTGAGCATAACTTCCCCAAGAGTATCCATCGTCCTGCTCCCATATAGCCTAGTTAATTTAACATATAGAGACTACCAGGGGAGTAGATTGGGAACGATTGCTACGCAACAGAAATTGTTATGATCGGCGTCGTTAATTCAAGTCCCTTACATAAATAGCAAGATATAGAAGACCTTTCGTCTCTAGATTTCATTAATCTACTGATTTGATTCTGGAATTGCTCTGCTGTATACTAACACCATTTTTCTAAAATTCATTTTATTGTCCGGTCTGTGTCGGAACACTACCAATGGTCAATTCACAAGCTTGTATGGGGTTACTCAACTCATACTTATTTCTTCTCTCTATGGGAAAGAATTCTGTCTTGTCTTGTTCATTTACGTGCAAGTTACATGACTACCGTTGCACTCCTATTGGAGGTTAAGCACGTGTGGGGTTGGGCTGGATAAGGTTATCTAGCATTAAGTACATCTACCTCGGCCCACCTAAATGGCCAGACCACCTCAGACTTCACCCATGTGTTGAATCATGTCAAGCCCAACCGTCCATGGAACCCCCTTTTGGCGCGCCGAAGCGCAAATTCCTCCTCAGCCTCGGCTACCACGCGCCCGAGCCCGAGCCCGAGCCCTTGACACCTTCGCCGTCTGTATCTTTTCCCTTCCATTCAGTCCCAGCTTTGGCTCATCTCAGCATCTCCTCATCTTATCTAGGGGTCTTTTTCTTTACTGGAGGCCTTATCCAGTTGCCCACCAAGACTTCCTCAGTTTGTGTTCCCTTTTGTTCCTTCATGTAGAATCCCTCTGTCCTTCAGCCGATCTCGACATCCCAGAGCCTTTGTAGAATGTCCACCACCCCGGCCTTGCCCCGTCGCTGCCGTTCCACTAACCGTGGAGGTCGAAAACGCGACTGAGAGCTTAGGACCGAGGCACCGGTGCCCCAGCCTTTGTCGAACGCTCTAGTTGGTGAGCCGACGAAATATCGTACGTATTTCGTCGGTGGCGATTCGTCGCAGGTCGAGCTATTGGTGCCCTTGGTCGAGGTGAGGACGCATATAAGGCCGGTATTTCGACCGTACCTTCATAGCGGCTGGCGGTTGCGGAGGGTCGGAAACCCTCTTGCTTCTTTGATGGCGATTTGGCTTTTGGAGGTATGGGATTGCTTTGGTAGGTGGTGAGATGATTGTGGAGAGGGCCGCGAGATGAGTTTGGCTGGGAATTTTTTTCCAGACAAAAAGAAAACAAGATCTTAAAGGTGTCGGTTGTTGTAATACGAACATCAGACAGGTTATAGGCTGTCTGCGGTTCGTATCTGGGGTGTAGATGGTTGATTTCGTTGAGTTGTGCAGTCGTGAAATCTCTGCAAGTCGGATTTTCGACCAAAAATAAGCCGACACCACTCCTCCCGATCGCCAACTCGACGAAAACTCTCAAATTTGCCCTTTGTCGTGACTGAATCTCGGCTTTGAGAGAATATTTCACTCCCAGGTTCGTAGAGGGCACCACTTACAGGTGTTCAGCCTTCGTTCTCCGGGGAAGAATCCTGTAAATACATTGTTGCCTCTTCCTAAACGCTATTCCATATAAGGAAAGGTCTCAACTCGACCCTTGTACATAATATCTTGTGAGCCAGTTCACACAGTCTGAGTCTATGACTTTGTAGGACATGCAGGTCCTCTCTGCCTATAGGCTAAGGATACCTATGCCAGTAGTATATCCCCTCATATGCCTCCCATACAGCTCCCCTCAAACAGTACCACCCCTCACAAGTCCTCATTCGATCATACACTAAGAGGAGCCCTTTGCCCTTCATTATCTCCCCCCTCCAGCCAACGAAGCGATGGCCATTTGCAGGTGTATGGCAGCCGGGAAAATTCGCAAAATCCACTGGGTGCGGGGCTCTTCTGATTCCGACATCAGGACTAGATCCGAAGACAAAGTGATCCTTCTAAAGCATTCGAAGAGGCCAGACAGCTAGGCGCTGCAGACTTGTGTGTACCTCGGGAAATTCACACTCTGCCTTTCTAGCCTCCTTCCAAATCTGCCCCGAAGGTCGTGCTGAAAAGTCAGGAAGGCCTTGACAGAGTGTGATAGCTGTATGGTAGCTTAGCCCAACTTTTTTTGTGCCGTTCAGGGTGCTGGGGAGTGCCATTAACTCATCGACAATTGAAGTCCTAGATCATTAGCCGAAATCTCGGTCTTGGTGCCCACAAACGTTCCAAAGTTGAAAAGCACTTGAAAATATCTGTACCAGCATGGTCTTTAGAGACCTGTTCCCCCTCTCGCTCCATATCTTAGCCGGATGTTATACCATAAGTTATTTTTCCAATTAGAGCAACAGTCCCCCATAAGCCAGGACCCAGGCTTTGTATTTTTCGACTTAGTTTCCTCCTTGCGGGCATAAACAGGGTCGTAAATATGTAGTGAGAGATGGCTGGAAATTAATAGGACAAGCTCCTGTATGCAATGGGAGCTACTTATTTTTTGGTAGATGAGGCGATGTGATGCGTTATTAGCAAGGGGTTGAAGACTCAGATGAGAATGGTAATAGAGGCATTGCCTAGAAGTCGTCAAATGGAGATATTCTTGAGGTTGCTTTCGACTTCGATTTGGATGCGATACTTCTTGGCTATCCCAGATATGCAGAGCAAACTGAGCGATTACACCGGCACAACTGGAAGGTGAAGAATTCGTCTCTGCCGGCTGAGTAATCCTGCTTAAAGTACACATGTTCCGATTAAAACCTGCATGGGCCTCAAGGCGCAAGATTGGGACAATTGTATAATTTATTTTACTTTAAGTTGTTGATGTCGTAGGGTAACTTTTTAGTTAACCGATGGCTAAAACTTCACCTGTCTACAACGACGCATCTACACTTAATTCTTCTTTTAAGGTATCTTGTGGCTTTTCCGAAATAGGTCTCAATTATGTAGATGCGATCTCGATCTCAACAGTGATGCATGCATGTGGCTAGCGCTCGGGAAAATTGCAAGCTTGGCATACTCGCAAAATCAAACGTTGGTGTCAATAAAATGCCTGTGCTCAATGGAATAAGCTACAGGCATTCTTCCGGCTTAGCGAAATTTGTGAGATATTGTCAACCTGCATTCGTGGCCAGGGAATCTCTCCGATGAATTGCTTACGCACATCTCATCTGCTGATACAGCTTTCAGCTCTAGTGCTATTTCAGATATTTAACTAGCAGCGTAATGAAAGTTTTGCTTTCAACAGTGCGAGCTAGGCTTGATGATCGAACCTCCTCAGCATGTTCGACATGCCTCGGCTCTCGGCTAGTGGCGGTAAGACGTCATTAGCATCTCGAATCGTAAACTGAGCTATGTAAGACTAACTATGACACTGGCATGACTGCTCATGGCCAGTATAAATCTTAAAATATCAGGCTCCTAACTATATAACTAATTTTCCTTAACCTATTGAACCGGCATGCATAAAGCACTATCCCGAGCTGGTCTTTATCAAACCTCTCGAAGAAGCCGAAATCAGATTTGGCCACTACGCGTTGGTCAAGTAATCGCAAAACAACAGCTTAATAGTACTAAATTTGGGGACTTATCAACGATAGCAACGGTCTCAGGGCAGAAAGTTGGTAATCTTTCTTTAGGCCAGTCTTGAATATAGTATGCACCTGCTCAGATCTAATCTAATTACAGGCTACGGAGAGGATCACACAAAAGAGAAGATGCTTAGATTTGAAGATTCACTTCCTCGGCTTCCAGTACCAAGCCTTGGAGAAACTGCTATCCGTTATTTAAGATCAGTTCATCCGCTTCTTAGTCCTACTGAATATGAAAAAACGGAACAGGCAGTTAAAGAATTTATTAAGCCTGGTGGAATCGGAAGTCATTTACAAGAAAGATTACTTGCTCGTCAGAAAGATCCAAAAGTAAGGAATTGGATTTATGAATGGTGGAACGACGCAGCATATCTTTCCTACCGAGACCCAGTTGTCCCATATGTCAGCTACTTTTATTCCCATCGAGATGACCGTCATCGACGAGACCCTTCCAAGAGAGCTGCTGCTATCAGTACTGCTGTCTTAGAATTCAAAAGACAAGTAGATGAAAAGACCTTGGAACCTGAATACATGAAAAACCTTCCCTTGTCAATGGAAAGCTATCAATGGATGTTTAATGCGTGTCGAATCCCTAAGAAACCAAGTGACCAACCCGTTAAGCATTCACATATTGAAAATAAACATATTTTGGTGATTCGAAAGAATCAGTTTTTCAAGGTTTATCACGATGTAGATGGTCAGCAGCTCAACACTTCCGAGCTGGAGATGCAATTTAAGCGCATCCTCGAGATAGCTAAAAGCGTTCCAGCTGTTGGGGCTCTTACTAGTGAAAATAGGGACGTATGGGCAGATGCTAGAAATCTTCTCCTCAGAGTCCATCCGACAAACGCTGCAGCCCTTGCGATCATTGAGTCAGCATCTTTTGTCGTCTGCTTTGATGATGCCTCTCCTATTACTCTGGAAGAGAGAGCTCATCAATATTGGCATGGTGATGGCTGCAATCGCTGGTACGATAAACCTCTTCAGTTCATTGTCAATAATAATGGTACATCCGGTTTTATGGGTGAGCATTCTATGATGGATGGAACCCCAACTCATCGCTTAAATGATTATCTAAATGAGGTCATATTCAAGAATAAGCTTGACCTCTCCGATGCGTCTATCCGCTCTAATCTTCCTGATCCTTATGAAATTAAGTTTCATCTCAACAAAGAAATACAAACTGAGATTGAGCGCGCGCAAAAAGATTTTAGAAAAGTTATCTCCGAGCACGAGCTTAGTGTCCAGGCCTACGAGGGTTACGGAAAGGGTCTTATTAAAAAGTTCAAATGTTCCCCAGATGCTTTTGTGCAAATGATTATACAGCTTGCCTACTTTAAGATGTACGGTAAAAATAGACCAACCTATGAATCAGCTGCAGTACGTCGCTTTCAGCAGGGCCGGACTGAGACATGTCGTTCTGTATCAGATGAATCAGTGATATTTTGCAGGGCCATGTCTGACGCCTCCCTGGAACCATCTAAAGTTGTCGCACTATTTCGTAAGGCTATTGACGCTCATGTGGAATATATCACTGCAGCAACAGATGGAAAGGGCGTAGACCGCCATCTTTTTGGACTCAAGAAACTATTAGCTCGTGAAGAAGAACTGCCATCAATATATAAAGACCTTGCGTATTCATATAGCTCCAAATGGTTTCTCTCTACTAGTCAACTTAGCTCCGAGTATTATAATGGCTACGGATGGAGCCAAGTCGTGGACGAAGGTTGGGGTATTGCATACATGATAAACGAAAACAGGTGAAAAATCCCAAAGAAAGCTTAGAGAACAGGTGCTAATCATTCGCAGCATAAATTTTAATGTAGTTTCGAAGGGTCTCGGTAGTAAGCGTATGAGCTTCTTTTTAAACGAAGCTGCAAGTGACTTGAGAACCCTCTTGCTCCCCACACTAGAAAATCCAAGGCCCAAGCTGTAACAGAATTAATAACTTTCCGAAACTTCAAATTTAGCTGCAAAATTTTGGAAATTTTAAAATCTTTAAGAAACAACTGGCTGTCAAAATTTTTACAGTTTCCACAGTTCGTTTATAAACCTAGTTTTTCCGAATAATTTTTGTGTGCTTGAAGCATATTAAATAAAGACTGATTAATCGATTATTTAACACATTTAACGAGCGTTGGCCAATACTAAACATCACCATAAAAAATTTTAACCCGATGGAAATCACAGCCTTAGACCTTGCTTTTACAATCACCTTACTATTTGCTCTTACATGTCTATAGTTGAGCTGGGTGCTTTTGATAGCTGAAACAGTAGGTATTAAGTTAGCCACCCGTATCTTGGAAAACTGTGAAAGCAGTTTAATTCTTTCTACCACTTACCATCAAAGCATACCCTGTTATATGGATGATGTTAGTCATACTCATCAGATGGCTCAAGCACACAGTATCAATCTCATGGGGCAGAGCAAAAATTTCACCAAAAAAACATATTGAAACCTAGACCTTTATCGAAGAGTAGGACAGTTTTTGTTTCCTGCATCATATCTTGCGATCAATTTCATAAATTTTAGATTACTGCTTACAGGGGTAGGTCATTCTGCGATTAAGAAAGTATGATGACATAAGAAGTGTGTAAATCTCCCTGTCATAGCCTGTGATAGATCTTTAGAAAAATTTTATAGCCCAACAGCCATTAGATAGTCTAGCTTTTTCTTATTAAAGAATTATCGATTGACAATACTTTACAAGAGAAGAGCAAGATACTCAAGAACTGTACATAATATATTATAATTATTTCTCAAAGGAAAACATCATTTTGGCTAGAATGCTGCACAGCGTTTCTCGCCAATTTTGTTATTGATTTGACATCGTGAATCTCATTCATAAATCCTCTTCACTCTCCACTCATCATTTCACTTTCCGTGTCACCGGATCAATTGGTGTTGGTATACAACAGAGAAAGTCCAGAATAAAATCAGTTAATTAATGAGATTAAGTAACGGAAGCTCTTCTACATTTTGCTATTTACATAAGGGACTTGAATTAACGACTCCGATCATAACAGTCTCCTTTGCTAAGCAATCGTATCCAATCTTCACCCTTGATAGCCTCTATAACTGACTAGACCCTAGATTCCATCTCTGCCATACTGACGCAGACAGTACACTCACAAAGGAGTATTCCCGTATCATTCCTTGCTTTAACATGGCGGGTACGGATACTGATGTGGGTAAATCCAGCGGTTTCGACACGTAGCAAAATGCTATAATGAGCACCACAATCAACGGCAGCGGAGCGCAGACAGCTTCAAAGAACAGAAATTTAGAAACCCTGGGGAACTTACAAAATAAGGTTGGATCTACTAGTGATGGATGAGATGGATGAGGAGGGCTTACCCACAATAGATGACATCAACGAAGCCATCAAGGCGTTCCATTGTCACAAGAAGACTTGCAAAATGAAATCATAGATCCCGTCTTTGATCGAGGAGATAATGATGGCGCTTGAGAAAGTTGTGGGGAAGAGCTTTGTGTAGCCCGCACGAAGAACTATTTATGGAGCAGTTTTTGGGATTCTGACACTACAAACTTACGCATCGGTCGTAGCTCTACAAATGACAAAGATGGTGGTACGAATAGGAACCGACGGATAGAAGATCTGTAGCCAGAACAGCTACTTTCAAAGGCTAAAGAGTCCATTTAAGGTGCATATGCGATTCGCCAGTGCGAAGTAACGACACTGAGGTGCTCGTCCAGTCGGCGCCCAGAGAGATGCGACGCTTAACATGTGACACGGTTCGGGAATTGATGTATGAGAAATCAAATATACGAAGATACTCTGTAATTTTCTCCGTAACTAAACATCGAAGCATTTCCTCAACCAATCATACATTTATGAAGATATCTAGCATACTGTTTCTTGGCTGATATCCGCTTCTCGCACATTCTACTAATGGCAGTTCCCAGTCTTGCTATCAATGCCTGTAATATTCATGTTACAGCTGAACTGTGCTAGAATAAAGCTAGACTACTGTAGAATTACAGAAACACGTGATTAAAATCACGTGCCATACAACAATCGGCTCAATCCGTTACAACATGCGTCAACCAGCCTGTGGTTTGCTAGGTAGCACCTCCCAAGGGAGGGCGGGAATCCACAATCTCAATTGAAGATAATACCTCCCAGCCCTTCCAAACTCACTTTTGTCTCCTATAGGGCTCACCAGTATCCCCAATCCTATTCCTCTTGGCCATTGAAGACGCTCTACGCCTCTCTACCGCTCACTTTGGCCATGCTGATGACATTTATCTTTTCGCATCAGCGCTTTCCCTAGCCGAGTATACACGCGAATTCCAGGAGAAACTAGATAGCACTACGCCATGGGGGTTGATTAACGGAATTAGTTTCGAACTTCCTGAGACTGAGCTGTAATACTTTCACCGGAAGCGAGGCTCACCAATACAGCCATCTATAAATATTGGAGGGCAGTCACAACGCCTAATGATCACACTCGCTGGCTTGGAATATTCTTCGACCGTGCTCTTCGATTTCAACACCACACCCTACAGGCTTGCCGAAAGTCTCTAGCAATCACGAGCCACTTGAAAAAACTCTCGATGACCATACGAGAAATTAGCTCTCTTTTTCTAAGACAAGCTCTACAAGGTGCCGCTTTTGCAACCCTCTTCTATGGGACTGATACCTGGTACTCTAAAGAGACTTATTAAAAGATCATATCGCAAGTCTAACACAGGATGAACGACCCGGCTCGGGCAGCTCTCCCAGTGTATCGCACCACTCCAATAGCAGCACTCCTACGAGAAGCTGGCTGGGGCTCAGCTCAAACGTGGCTCCCCCGAAATCACAATAGTCTAGCGGCTCAAATTTCGGCAGCTGACCCGTACCATCCTCTTCGTAAGCGTTTGAATACTAGTCGCATGCGCTCGATCCGCCAGAGGATACCGTTAGAACTTTCCGATGACTCCATATCCCCACCATGGTCGGTACCCAGTGAGGAAAAGCTAGTCGAAATTGGGGTAATAGGCAGACTCCTGGGACCAAGCTTCTTCAAACAATGGCAGACTTAACAACCAATCCTAGACCTATTCGTATTTTCAGATGGCGCTCTCATAGAAGACCGAGCAGGTGTACGTTACGTCATTTACCGAGTTCCTACGCAGGAGATAGGGTGAGAATCACTCCCGCTCGGAAACTCGGCGGAAGTCTATGATGCAAAAATTGCTGGGCCACAGAAGGTCTTGCCACAGCTCTTCGCAATCCACTGGCCAAATCTAAGCGATTATAGGCATACATTCTCCGTAGATAGACATAACAAGTAATTACCATCAATAATTGAATCAACCTCCACACTATTGAGATCCTATTCTCCTAGAGCCAAGTTCAGTCAAATTTCGCAATATCATAGAAGTTGGCCCACGAGGCAATGATTCAAATTACTCCACCACGTCCTTTTTTCGCTCCTAGCGAGTTTGACTTCTACCTAAGTCTCGTAAAGTCTACAAGTACGACCTAGTACATCCTCATCCCAATGACCACACCTCTCGTCGACTTTCTCTGGCCTCAGCCGGTCACTAAATACACGCCCACTCCGATATTTACACCAGACGTAGGAAGCAAAGCGTGGAGCACAAATCTGGGAGATAGCTCTTTGGGATGGACGTAAGAGGAATCAGGACAAGTTTACAAGATGATGCGAAGGATGGATATAATCTCGAAGGGCGTGAAATTCCGAATTTTGGCAAGGAGTTTTTCGAATTGAGCTTTGTGCGCGCCAAGACTTCGCTTGCGAGAGTGCAGCTGACAATATAAAAACAAGCCGACGATGGAAGGTGTCGTGGTCTGCCTCCTGGTGGTATTCTCCGGTATAGTTTGAGTAGCCTGGGCACCTATTCTACTTGGGAAGGAGACATCTCAGATTACATTTCGCGCGGAGAAAAGTTAATGGATGACGGAGGCATGTCTAGATAACTCAGGATTTTTGAGATGTTCCCCTAGGTGGGTACTCACGGATGAGGGTTGACTGGGGGTGAAGAAAAAGCCGCCATAACTTCACAGTGGTACTTCCAAATGAAATCCGAGGCATGAGTACTCTTCTTGTAAATTTAGTCATCTATTATACACTTCTCTGATATTGTGTCATAACTAGATAGCTGCATTCGCAATTAAAATCTTATGCAAAAAAATTAAAATTTAGATCCATAGAAGTGCCAAACTTTCATAAAATCCTCAATTGTATTGTCGTAATCGCATCTGTAACGATCCACCACTGCATTCTAGAATACACACTCTAACTGTGATAAGCTACACCACCGGGTCTGGCAAACAAATTACAATAGTCTCCATGGTAGACGGGCTACACTCCGGAGTTCTGGGTTCCGAGAAGGAAATTTGAGGGTACGACATCGCTTGATGCGACTTTTCAAGCTTCAGAAATATAAAGCAGGAAAGCGGCTTAATTAAGGGTTTCCGCGAACTCATCTCTTGTTCTTAGCAGAGATCAAAAAAGGTCATTCGGAAGATGTGGCAGGATCTGGACCAATATAGAAATTTCTTTTACTCCCAATTTGAAATTTTTTGATCTATGATTTGTAATTGACTCCTTTTGTAGAGGTTCACGCGGTGTGATCGTGTGGGGCATGTCATCGGACATGATTCTAGTCAGCTCCATCGGTACTCGATTTGAAAACATATCAGGCGTAGCCAAGGATTATAATAAATGCAGACAAAAAAATGACCTACCATGTCCATGAGTCGAAGTTTCAGCGATATGACATTTACTTATTCAGGATTTATATATCAAATGAACTGTCATAGCAACTCCATCTTTATCACGAATTCAATCACGTCTAAGTTATATTTGGCTATTCTTGGCGTCAATGAAGTTTGATAAATCATATACTAAACGGAAATTCATAAGTTCTAAGAAAACTTAGAAACATGCTCTACTTAAGAAAAATGTATCGCATATTTGTCCAGTAATCATTTTTAACCGAAAATTAACATTTATACTAGCCTGTTTCTTGCTGCTTGCTTCATGAGAAATTTTCTGACATCATTTTTGTCGGCAAACCAGTCTACTGGTGACCTTTTGTGTGATGACGTCTATCCATACTTTGGAAACATTGAGGTTTATTGTGGTAATAAGGATTGTAAAATAATGAAAATTTCAAAAGATTTGTCGTAGAATAAACTGTAGGGCATTGAATATTTCAGGGCTTGGTGCTTTTGGAGGATTTATGGGACCCTTAGAGATTTTTGGATGTTTGGACTCTTGTAATTGATCGTATATTTGATCAGGAATTTTGTTCACTGTCCTACTTTGAAATCGAGGATCAGGTTGCCCAGGAGCAGAAATTTGTTCCAGATTTAACTATTTGATTGAAACTGAGTAGATCACGTTGTTTAATAAATCCATATAATTTGATTGAGAGACACCATCAAAGATGTACAGGGTTTTCAGGTTTGTTCAAACCTTCTCTTTCTTCTACTCTTCCGCATGATAGAATGATCGTTTTTGAATTTTGAGCCCTTACCCTTTATCGATGTAGCAATTGAATTATCTTCACCATCATCGTCGACTGCTTCTGCTTCATCATACTCCTCTATTGTCGTACTTGGAGCACGAGAAGTAGGCTCTATTTTATTCTTCGAAGTTTTCCCTGGCGGTCTTCCTCTCCTAGCTGGCTTAGGAGGTAGCGAAAGCGCTGGAGAAGATCTATTTTCATCTGTCTCGTCCACCGCATTCGACTGGTGCTTGATGAGTTTTTCTTTTCGTTTTCGATTCCTCGGTCCCACCGCTGGCGAAGGAGTACGTTCTAATGGAGGATGAGGAGCTGATGGTGATGATTCTGTCTCACTAGGAGCCTCGCACGAGCTTCGTCTACCCCTCATAAATTGAATCTCCTCATACTCCTCTGGCAACTTAAATTCGAGATAAACGTCTGCTTTCTCGCCTGGCTTTGCATAATCAAGATTGTTCTCGTTGTAGTCAATACTTTCAAGGTTATACAAAGATCGGAGCTTCTTCCATATCCCAGGAATACGAGTATGGGTCTCTACAGTAGGATCGTAGCCATGGTTGCGGAGGTATTCGGAAATTGCTATCATGCGAAAATGCTTGTGCATTCCTATATTTTGTCAGTAACCTCAAATCTTTGTTATAGAAATACCCTACCAGCTGGTTTCCATCTTACTATTCCTTTGAAAAGTGAGGTCTCTTGTTCATCTGTCCATGGGTCTCTCAAGATATCCGGGACATTATTGGCTTGTAATGTGTTACCTGGTGTCTCAGTATCATTAAGTGTAACGAGACTGGCTTCTGGAGATGCGATTGACTTTAGTTTCTTTCGCGGTGGCATAGCTTTAATCATTTGAATCTCGATCTTAGAATTACTGTATGAAGAGCTTTCAGGAGCACACGCAGCTCCTAACATTTAAGCGGAAATAGAGATAGTCGTACATACTTGAGACAAAATAGAAACTTCAACCTCTTAAAAATTAAAATGACTGGCAGCGATGCTGGTGATGTATTTTATGTACCTGACTTTTGGGCGCGGTCTGAATTATCATTAGATGCGGCATCCACGATATGTCCTTTTTTTTCTGTGTCCAAATTACAAGGTATAATTTGCAGTCCAGCAACTTCACACGGATACCAATAAACAATTCTGTCTAACCATACCTCTAGATATTGAGGACACACTTCCGCCTCTTGAATTCTCTACGGCCGACGAATTCACGCCTTTCGGTACTTCAAACCTCGGCCTCAACATACCCAGCTCCTTTCAAACGCAAACTCGTCCTAAAATTATACTCGCCGCAAGAGAAACGTCGCAGGAATATGAAACAATTGGACAAGACATATGGCTCTGTCCTGGGGAATTTTCCCCGAAATATCCTATCCATCAGACTTGGGATGAATACGGAGAGAGGAGATCCGGCAGGATTCCCAACCCATACATTACGGAGGCTGGCGCAACAATCTTTGATGCTGCGATCACAGATCCTGATGATAGACTAGGGTTTGCAAACGATGAATTCATTGTAATTAATCGTAGAAAGTTTGTTCAGTCCCTCTTGGCCTTGGGACTAGGCAGAAGCTCCGTACTATTTTTATGGGATGAAGAGAGGCACAGTTTTACCCAAACTGCTCCGCGATTACGAACATCTGGTTTGACCGGTGATATTCTGATTGAAGTTTTAACAATCTTCATAGAATGCGGGAATATTACCAAGTCCCTTCGGAAGTACGTAGACAAGTGTTACAATGAGGAAACTTCTCCTGCACGAATTGCACTTGCTGACTCGGTACTAACTCTTCTAAAAACTATTCAATTACATTTGAAAGATACAGCCTTTCAGAGACTAAGCATTATTCAGCTCAAAACTCTATTCAATCCAGTCCATTCGATCCTAACCTGTTTTCAGAAACTAGTAAATAACACTGCAGCTAGCCGCAGTGATGAATCTCTACTTTCGACAATATTTGAAGATATTCAAGTTTTGGAACAAAGATCCGACTCCCTTCGAAGTATACTTCTAGAAGTTCTCACTCGTGTCTCACAGCCGTGGTTAGACTTTGTTAGTGAATGGATCGGCCTGTTGCCAGAGAGAGGGTTACCAATGACGAATAAACATAAAAGAAAAAGTCTTGTTACACTTTTAGCTGCGGGATGGGTCGAACATGAAGGGACTGAGAATATCAGACCTGAGTATGTCCTCGATTCAGACAAAATTCCGTCATTTATTGCATCGGATGATGCTCGAACTATTTTTGAGATAGGAAAAAGTCTGAGGCTTCTAAAGGTTCATCATCCAAGCAATCCCCTAGTAAATGCTGAGATAATTGCTCACATAAAACCACCGCATCTTAAGTGGAAGTTTTCCTGGCATGAAATCTCTCAAGTTGAAGCAACTGCCTTACAGTACGAAGAAACGCACCGGAGTATGAAACATGCCCTTTTTCTTCGCTCTATATCAAGAAATACTCCTGAAATTCATCTGATTCCCAGGCCTATTCCTGTAAATTTTACAGTCTATGGAAAGCAAGTAGAGGCTATAGAAGCCTCTGTCTCTGCCTCGATTTCTATATTCGATCAGATCTTGGATATCGAAAAGCTCGAGGACAATCTTTCACGACTGCTCAATTCGTATTTCAATTCTACAACAACTAATATGGAAAATAAGAACTCAATATTTGCACCTCCTATTTCAATAGCACCAGTGCTTTCTTTTAATCCAATTGTAGCGGTACAAGCTAGAATTATCAATGGAACTTGTATGAAAATGCTCTTTCAGTCTCACAGGCTGCGGGATCATCTAAATATGCTGAAACAATTTTATTTACTTAATCATGGTGTATTCTCAACTCGGCTCTCACATATACTTTTTAGACGTAAACCCGAGAGTTTGTCTCAATCAACCACCCAACAAAATAAGGTCGCAAGCCTTCGGACTCATCCTAATAATTGGCCTCCAGCAAGTCCAGAGTTATTACTTGAACTATCTGGTATATTAGTAGAAAGCTATTACCACCAAAGGAAGCTCCCGAACAAATCTCTACCTGGTAACTTGAGCTTCGCAATTCGTGACATGTCACAGGAACAAATGACCGAGTGTATGAAACCAGACGGAATAGAAGCTCTAGATTTCCTCTGCCTCTCTTACAAACCACCAGCGCCACTTGATGTTGTCATTACTCCTCTAATCCTTTTTAAGTATGACCAGCTGTTTAAATTTTTATTACGAATAAGAAGGTTGCTTCATGTTGTCTCAAACCTCTTCTGGGCCACGATATATAGATCTCCTCACCCTCAACCAAGTCTTCTTACGGCCCAGCGCTTCCAAATGGATGCAACCCATTTCATGTCCAGTATTTCAGGGTATTTTTTTGATACTGGTGTCAGTGCTGCTTGGCAAATTTTCGAAAGGAAGCTAGATCAAGTTGAAAGTTTTATTAATAATAGTGAGAAGACTACTTCTAGTTGGATTGATGGTCTCGATAAGTTTCGCGACTATCATGAGCGAGTTCTGGACCGCATCATGTTTGTCTTCTTATTACGCAAGCGGCAAAAATCGGTGCTTCATCTTCTTGAGGAGATATTTGGCCTAATTTTACAATTTTCCAGTGAAGTTCAGGGCCAGACTCGCTGCGCCGATGGTCTGGAGACTGATGCAGAGATCAAAACCCTCTACATTACCTTTAGACGTAAAGTTGCCGTTTTTATCACAGTGTTAAGGGGACTTCGGGAAAAGAAAGGGTATGGGGAGACAAAAAATTTGGAAACCAGAGGCTCATTAAGTGAGGGAATATTTGCATGTAGTGAATTGATTGAAGAAAATACCATTGCACAGCTTCTCTCGCGCTTAGAAATGTCAGATTATTTCGAAAATCATGTTCATTTTTAAGACCACTAGTAGCTCAGTACATTGATATGAAAGCATTCAACCTCAAACTACTGGGCCCGAGTAATATATTGGATGGAATGCATCTAAGTTCACTTTATCTTATGCGTGGCCTGTTAAAAGTATTAAAATCCTAGCTAAGACGGTGAAGAGAAGTATATCATATGAATGCAAAATGATTTCAATTGAATCAGAATGCTACAGACGACACAGTATTTACAGCCATACTACCATGGAAGAAATACTCCGTGTGATGCTTGAGTATTCATATTTGGACGGTCAGGTACATAATGATAGATGTTTTCTCTGCCTATCTGTATTTATACTTTTACCATTTCTGAATTTACCAGTTCTTGTTTTAACCCGTGAATTTCTCTATCTCAGATGGTTAAAAACTGCAGAATTCTCTGATTCTACCCCGTCGCTATCGTACCCCTAACTGTGGGGGTCGAAAAGCCGAATGAGAGTTTATTTCCGAGGCATGGCGCCCTAGACTTTGCCGAGGCTATTTATAACTTGCTGGGTCAGTACCGGATCTACTATTTCGGTCACAATCCGACGCACGTCGGGATGGCGGTATCCCTGGGCGAGCTGTAGACGCGCTTAAAGCAGGAGGGCAAGACTGAACACCTGTCAGTGGTGCCCTCTACGAACCTGGGAGTGAAATATTCTCCCAGAGCTAAGTGCAGTCAAATTTCGCAATACCGAACAAATTGGCCCACGAGGCAATAATTCAAATAACTCCACCACGTCGTTTTTTCGCTCCCAGCGAGTTTGACTTCTACCTAAGTCTCGTAAAGTCTACAAGTACGACCTAGTACATCCTCATTCCAATGATCACACCTCTCGTCGACTTTCTCTGGCCTCAGCCGGTCACCAAATACACGCCCACGCCGATATTTACACCCGACGGAGAAAACAAAGCGTAGCACACAAATCTGGGAGATAGCTCTTTGGGATGGACGTGAGAGGATTCAGGACAAGTTCACAAGATGATGCGAAGAATGGATACAACCTCGACGGGCGTGGAATTTTGGCAAGGAGTTTTTACAAATTGAGCTTTGTGCGTGCCAAGACTTCGGTTGCGAGAGTGCAGGCGACACTATAAAAACCGCAATGGTTGGATGGCGCGGTGGTACATCTTCTTGGCCGGTCTGCCAAGTAGAGTCTGGATAGCTTGGACACATATCTCACTTGAGACAGTAGATTGCTGGTTCAAATCCAGCAAAACACAACCACATTTCTCGCGGCACTGGTATGCATGGATGACGAAGGCATGCTTGGATAACCAAAGGTTTTGAAACGTCCCTCCGGTGGGTACTTACAGAGGAGGGTCGACTGTTTGTGTAAGCAAGTATACCTCATAGTGGTATTTGCGAATTAAATCCAGAGTATGAGTGTCTCTAACGTCAAAAGAGTCATCCAACATGTATACATAGCACTGGTCATGTGTCATAGCTCCATAGCTGAATACACTTAAATGATTTAAAAAAAAAGGAAAAAAAAAGAGCTTAAAGCTATTTCTTCACCCCTGGCTTACAGCATGCGGCAGTAGCAAAGGGTTGGACGAATCCTCTTACCTTGAATTAATTTTGAGTATCCGGACTTTTAGGAGTGTTTTACGGGTGAGTGCAGCAATCAGTGGTACCTAATTTATCGCTAATCTGGTTCCATTCCCTTAGCTCTGCATGCCCTGCTACGTGAATGAAGATTGACTATTAACGTGAAAAGTGCATGTATAAGATATGACAATCCAGAACGAACTACGAAAAAACATGAGAAAAATTTTTTAACTTTGATGCTCTCATGATATCCACCAAGAGGTCAACTTCTACGTCAGCGCCTTAACTTGCGCCATCAGTTGCCATTATGACCTGATTCATCTCCAAACACCTCCACCCACTAACACAAAATGGCGCTTCCGGCTTCCAAAGTATTATTAGAATTATCCAAAAGCATCTCAGAGTCGGAAACCCTCAATTGTGCTAGTCCTCGCATGCTCATTAACATCCTCTTCTCTCTCTCATTCCATGCCTCAGCTATCTCGTTTCTTCAAGTCATAGGGCGATGTTCTCCCTCAAGCGCAGACTCAAGCTTTACGTATTAGGTCTTAGTTTTCTTCTCGCGGGTTTACGTGGCATTTTAATTTTGAAGTAGGAGATGATTGCTGATTGATGAGGAAAGCTCTCGGTTGTCATTGAAGCAACTCCTCGAACAGTCGTTTAGATGATTTGCCTCGTGGAAAAATTAAATCAGAGGATTCGCATAAGAAGGCTAGTACCAATATTTGCTCTGGATGCTACTCCTATCAGGCTTATGCTCTACACCCAAGGGTCGTGTTGCAGCTATGTTGGTCCTTTAGACTCACACAAACATACATGAACAATCCCTGTTGGGCCGGAGAAAATAGAGGAGAACGGATAGAAATTTCGCAGTCATTACGCCCTGCGTGGTATCCGCCTTTCGTACTTACGCTTAACCAAAAAGTCATTATTTATGAAGAAAATCTCCGGTGCTTATTTCTATTACCTCATGAGACACCGGCATATTTATAATATCAAGTTGTTGTCAAGAATGCAAAAAACGTTGCCATTTCTTCTCATCATTCATCACTTCAACACGTTGTGGTATTTTCTGCTCACTTCTTCTGCAACACTTCCATACAGGCTTGCAATCTGTAAATTGCCAGGGCCTTTTCTCCCGAATGAAATAGTAGCTCATATTCTCGTTCTTAAGGACAACCCCCCTGGCCAGCCTGTCACGGGGCGAGAGGGTGTGTCAAAACTAGATAGCTGAATACACTCTAAATTAAAAAAAAGGTAAAAATGGGGCGAGAGGGTATACAAGATAGAAGTCACGGGACAGGATATAAACAAGATAGGTAAGTTGAAATGTGGACTAGATACGGAAGTCTAACTAAACGCTGTACGTCTCTTTGAAGTCGTGAACTGTTAGACATTAGCAATTATCTGAGGTTTATTGGGTGTTTGGATCACATTTGGATATATGGGGTCCAATAATAGATTACCTTAAATTAGCTAGTTAAACGCACGGTCCACCTAGAGAAGTGATAACTTCTGGGGACCGATGTTCGGAAGAAAAGAATCAAGTTGTTTCTACTGAGGTTGTTGATACCCGTAAATATCCTTCACCTGCCACAGGACAGGTTCCCCAGTTTCCTAGTTTGAACGAGGACTACTTTAAAGGTCTACTCGGACTAGCTCGATGCTCGTATCAATAATAACACCTGTTAACATTTCTATCTTAATATCGGCCCGTACAAACATACAGTAAAATAGAAACTCATATTGATCCTCAGGATTGCGATGGATAGCAGAGATTGATGGTGTTTATGGCATTGCGGGGTTTGTTAATTAGTGACAGGGATAGGACACGTATATATATATATATATATATATATATATCGCGCACTTGACTCCTCTTTGATATGATAATGCTTCTGACTACATTCACAATGCCTATAACTACTCTGGCCTAATCACTCCTTACTAAAACGTTCCTATCTTCTAATTCATACCCTTTTCGCCCTTTTATCTTAAATGACAGGTCATGATATTCTTCGTACTGCCGGCCTCATCAAGCTCAGAGTTATGGATAGATTAAATCTTTAGCAACACCAGCTCTCTCCGTTCCTGGGGGACTATTTTCAACACCTGTCAGTGATGTCCCCTACAAACCTCCGGATCTCACTGCAGAGTCTGCAGAGCCGAGATTGAGTACCAAAGTCCTCATTTCGACGAGGATTCTCAACCACTTTCGCGGTCTGTATCGTCTTCAACCCTCAAGGCACACTCCTATCACCATTATCATGAAGCTGACACGGTCAGAAAGATGGTAGGGTCGGAGCCCTACTCATCACCAACCCTTGATCATGGAGGAAAAGCCATCCGATGAGTTTCCGGAGCGTACCCAGCACCCGATACAGAGATGGCGGATTGGATCAAGATGGCCTCGACTGTTAAGGAAGGGAGATATAGATGAATATGCGCACCTCACGTGGACCCGGGGCCTAGGCCTCGCCTGGCAGGGGCTGCAGGGTTTTGAGACTTTTTCCCGCGCACGCAGTTTCCATTGCTACCTTTTTTTTTTGTTTGTTCGGGTAGAAGGTTCCGTGGAAAAGGTGGCCGAATTCCACGGATAAAGATTGAGCTGAATGGCTATCTATTACGGGAAATACATAAATGATTTTTCAAGTGACAAAAGAGGCGAGGAGCACCATGCAAGGTGTGGCCTGGGTCAGAAAGAAGCCCAAGGTGCTAGATAGTCATAGACTCAAGTAGTACAATAAACACACACTCTCTCATCCCCACAGGAATTCATTCGAGTATACACTAAGAGGAGCCGTCATTTCGCGACTGCTCATGTATCCATTATATAGCCTGAAGTGCTACCCCATTACCATCCCAACCTCTAAACTTTACACAATATCGTGTAGGGAACCTAGACGAGTTAGAGGGCCCATGAGTCCAAAACAGTGTATCTACACTTCAAATAATAATTCAGAGGGGACTTAATTCGACACCTGTCAGTTGTGTCCCTTACGAACTTTTAGCTCCCACTGTAGAGTCTGCAGATCCAAAATTGAGTAACACATTTGTCCTCACTTTGATGAGGATTCCCAACGTGGTGTTCTCTGATATAGTTTAATAAGTCTGGGTACCTACTCCACGTAGGGTGAAGACGCCTCAGACTACATTTCGAGTGGAGAAGAGTAAATGTATGACGGAGGTATATCTAGATAGCTAGGACACATGTCGCACTTGAGGCAGTAGATCGCTGTTTCGAATCTGGCAAAACTAAACTAAATTTCTCACGGCGCTGGTATGCATGGCTGACGAAGGCATGCTTTGATAATTAATGGTTTTCAAAGTCCCTTTGGTAGGTAGTAACGGAGGAGGGTCGACTGTTTGTGTAAGCGAACATACCTCAGTGGTATTTGCGAATGAAATCCGGAGTATAAATGTCTCTAACGTCAAAAGAGTCATCCAATTTGTGAATATGGCACCTGTCATGTGTCATAGCTACATATCTGAAAATTAAAAAAATTAAAATTTATTCGTGACAGGCACAAGCCCTGCACTCAAAGAGCATGACACGATGAAGACTAGCTTCTCCGGCGATTATATACGACGATAACTCAGTTTGACATTCGGACTACTCATGTAGTGAGTGCATTCGCTAATACCACACAGGATCTTTGTACTTGGGACTTTCACCCTTCCCTCAACCGTTAATATCCACCAAAGGGAAAACTTGAAAAACCTTTGGCTACCCTAACATGCCTTTGCCATCTTGTATATAGCCGCCGCGCGAGATATGGCCTCACAGACCTCCCTTTCTCGAGTGAGGCAGGTGTCCAGGCTACCCAGACTTTAATTCGGGGAGATGATGACCAGGAGGCGGACCAAAACACCTTCCATCGTCGCCTATTTTTGAAGTGTCAATTGCACTATTCGAAATCGTTGCTTCTGTGTCCACAGACACTCGTAAGTCGAAGACAATCGAAAAATGTGCGTCCCAGGATGCCCATTTATGAACTCTTCACTCGTTCGTCCAACATCCCAGCTGACTGTCCTCCCTCAAGATGTGAAGCCCCATTAGAGCAACGGTCCCCCCCTAGACCAAGACCCGGGCTTTGTAGATTATGACTTGAATTCATCATCATGGGTATACATAGCATCGTAAATGTATAGTGGGAGATGGCCGGTTTTTGATGAGGCAAACGCCCGATTGTAATTGGAGTAACACCATTATCGGTATTTGAGGCGAGGTGGTGTAGTAAGATTGAGGTGGAGGACTCGCGTGAGAATGATAGATCCGACATTGACGAGAAGTCGTCGATTTCAGATGTGCTTGTGAGTGCTTTCGATTTGGATGCGATTCTTCTTGGCTATCCCAGGTATGCAGAACATAATGAGCGATTACACCGGCACCACTGGAAGGTAAAGAATTCGTCTTTGCCGGCGCTACATAGCTGAATATACTTTTAATGATTTTTTTAAAATAAAAAGATTACAAGCTCGGCTGTTCTTGTAGTGTGTTGGTGTATGTGATGGCCTTTTCTCTCAATTAGTGCCTGCATGGTCCGACGCCGATCTCAATCGAGACACAAGATAGTTGCTGTAGCCACTTCAAGACCTGTATGGATCTCGCGCAGTATTTGCCTTGAGAGCAATGATGAAGTCTCTGAATATATAGAGATTCTGGAACTTACTGTCAGTTACTTTGTGCATATGTGGCCTTTCATGGGGTAAGAATGTATGTGTGACTGTAGTACCTGATATTCAAGTTTAAGTCATGAGTGTCCGACATTAAATTAATTACAGAGTATACAGACCCCAATGGCAACATGGCACAGCCACACATCGAAACCAATAAAATGTCTTAGGTAAGTCTAAATCGTAAAAGTAATGACAATCTCAAATTGCTAAGGCTCTCAGACATCTTAGCCATCCATGACGGCTTGTTATGGTTGTTATCACGTGGTATTGGTTTTAATACTCTAGCCAGCATCGCCGAGGGGGAAGTTGTCCTACAGGAAGCTCAGAGTTTTAGCAAAGGGATTGCCGTACATCTTAATTAAGCCTGGAGCCAAATTATTTGAAACTGTGTTCATAAAAATAATTTGGTAATAAAAGTGAATGAATTTAAATCAACGTCCATACCATGACGAGCACATAGACTTCCTAAATTTAGCGTGCCAAGAAAGCGGGATAGTTCTTGTTCGACTCTCTGGGTGCAGAGGACCCGAATATCGCAAGCTAACAGCACCATTGAGATCTTTCAAAATGCGACGCTCATTGCGGAAGCTATCCGCAGCTCAGCCTAGCCGCTACCTAGAATCTGGTGCGCCTACAGGAATTACCGGCCTGCTTACACACGCTTCTCCTCGCGCGACACTTATGTACACCTATGCAAGCACACTCGATGCGCTCGCACAGTTACCCGAAAGCTCACTCTATCGACAGAGTACCGAGGCTATCACTAAACATCGCATGTCCATTGTATCTGCAGTCGAGCCAGCCGGCTTAGCGGAATACGTGGAAAGAGTCAAGAAAATCTTGGCCGCAAACCCTAGCAATTTTGACAACTACAATGGCCATACACACCATGTTGAAAAAGCAGGAAAAAAGTTTATTGTCATCAAGCCAAAGCCGGAACGGGATGAATTGACAGAGGAGTGGGATGGGATGATGGATGAATCTTCGTCCAAAGCAAAAGCCGAAGCGGGAGGTGAAAACTTGCTGAGTTCAGCGCCCGAAGATGAAATGGACATGAATACCGACCAGAAAATTGATATTGAGCCTGAACCACAATTAACGGCCTCCCAGTGAGTAATGGTTGCTATGGATTGAAATGAAACTAGAGTGTTCTAACAAGGCGCTATAGAATCGATGAGATTGAAAGTAAAATTGATGCAGGACTTATTGAAGAAGTCATTCAAGTAGCAGAGGGAGAGCTAAAGCTTGTAGATGTGATGATCAAGGCCAAGGTGTATGTGCTTTTCCTAAAATTTATTGCATCTTTTACTTACAAATAATACAGCTGGGAAGATCTAGAGGAGAAGCCAACGGAAGGTCAATGGACCTACTTCAATCGAGAAACTTAGATACCAGTGTACTATGGTGAAGGGCTAATGCGAGCTAGTTCTCCAGACTAGGGTCAAATAACCCGTGTAGAAAACGGCAGAGAGAATAATCATTACGATGTACAATATGAGAATGATGGTCAGAACACATAGTCCACCAATACCGTTCCTTCACCTTTCCTCTTAATTGTTACATCTGTAGATCGGATCTCTCACTTTCAATTTTGGATTTGGTCTCCTCAAGTACCAAACGTTCATGAGGATAGAGCATTAACAAACGGATTGTCAGATACTCATGCATCATAGAACTGCTTCCCCAAAATCTTAGCATAAAAATTGGCTCATGATGAAGAGTATATTCATCAAATATCAGTCCAAGATCACTGGTAAGACGTGTTCTTTGGCATCAATCGATTATAAGAAATGACTTCTGCCTATCTTCTACTTTTTTGTGAATTAGACTAATATTAAGCTGATACGCCTCGGGTGATTATCTACTTCCCGCTAAGTCGTGGTATCAAAGTAGGCATTTCCCAACGCTCTCGTCCGAAATGCCATCCAGAAAACACAGTACGACAATCGAGCTTCACCTTATCGATATGTTAGCAATCAGAGGAAAGCCTCACTACACCGAACATACAAAAGGACTATTAAAGGATGTAAATAATGACTCACAGTACACTATTCATGGCCCTTGTCATTGAGCAATAACATCTAAACTTTATCGCCGAAAAATAGAATGAAATGAGCTGAAACAAATTCTAGAAGCCTTAGATAGATCTTGGTATCGGAGGCTTGGCGCTTGGCTTAGGGATGTGCTTCGGTAGACTGCACGAGTCAGTAGGTTGAGTTTCGACGTCAAATGAAGGGGCCAATGATACGAGGAAATAAGATGAACTCATGGTCTTCCTAGTCAATATGGGTAACTTATGCTGATTGACAAAATGTTATAATCATTGGCGTATTCCTTTCACAGCTCATCGCTCCTTCATTGCTAATGTCATGTCAATTTCCGTGTCTCAATTAACGAATATAGATTCTGAATGCAGAGACTCACTCTCTCTAACCTCACCTAATACGGATCATGGACTTGAGGGTATCGGAGATTTATCAGATTTCAATGCAGACCTCGTGGAGAACATACTCGCCCTGCTAGATGAACATACCTCTCTCGCACCATCGTATTCTCCTGCCGTATCAGCACGCTATGTATCTACTCCCCGCAGCATCAGTCAATGGGTCCAAAAACTGCCCAGTAATTTTTCGACAGCTACTCCGCCAGCTATCTCTGATGTTGATACAATAACTTCCAACTATGAGCCTAGTCATGGAAATTCGCATGTAAATCAGGAAGAGTCATCGAGACAGATCGCGCCAAATCCTACACATTCGAGTGAAGAGTACCGCACATGGCTGCCTCGTGTCACTTCACTACTCCCAAAGGTAGCCTCATACGAATCGCCAGAACATCCAACCACTACATCAAGCTTTCATAGAAGTAAAAATGGTCTTAATAATGGGCTAGAATTTCCAGCAATTCCAAGTCGAATGGGTCGCAATTCTGATCGAATGTCTGCGCTACGACGGACAGCTGTGTCTCCCACGCCGCTACCATCCAAGAAGAGATCAGGCTCGATGCCAAACATGAGGACTAGTGTAAAACCAATGAATTCAGGGGTACTGGAGGCTTACTCACGTAAAAGCCAACCAATACGGATTCGAACGCCGGTATCAAATGAGACAACGGAGTATTGCTTTCCTTTGCCTCCAATCAGCACTACTTTATTCCCTCGTAACTCGAGCTCTCCCGTTAGTATAAATGAGGAAAGCGAAATTTCATCTCACCAGAATACGCCTCGAGTTGGACAGAAAATTTCTGATTCTCTTCTTAGACCAAGTATGATCAGTCTCGTCACAGAAATAGAGCCGTATCATAAGTACAAAAACGTGGGACAGGAGTTGAAAAAACAGACGGAGTGTGATGTAAAAGAAACTCCGGGGCAGTCACGAACCAAATATCAGGCTCCTCCCCGCCGCCCAGCTACTATTCGAAATTCTTTTATATGCCTTGATATTCCTACTCCCCCGTCTCCAACCTATAACCGTCGAGTTAAATCTGCTCTCTTGACTTCACAAGGTGTAGGTCTAGATGCCCAAGGTTTAGCCGACAGCATGCAGCGCCAAATAGGAAGCATGAATAAAAGCATTCGAAACTCGCAGAATATCAAGCCAAGAATTTCTCCAAATGCAACGAATTCTAGAACCAATATTATAGCGTCTGTAGAGGACCAGCATCTTCTAAAAGAATGTCTAGTGATAGGATTAGAGGCACGACTTTTAACGGTTTATCGAAGATCTTTGACTAGCGCTAAAGTCGAGTGGCTAGTTGTTGACAATGGCATGGCTGCAAACGTAGACTTAGATGGCGGCCGTTTACTGCTACGATGCTTTGGTGATGCTGTTGGTAAAATTGGTACGTGAATCTCTACCAATTACCTCTCCCATATTGCATATCTCACCGGTTTCCCGAACAGATTTCTTTACTGCTGAAGGATCCTCACTTTTCCGCTTTCAGCACACTAGCAGTAAGACTTGGACCGCAACATCGCTGAGTATGAATGATGAAAAGATGTACTTTAGTGTTCGGGATGGTTCCTGGGATTGTAAGTCTTTAATTCTACATCTGATTTATTGGGCATAACAACTAATGAGCTATCTTGAAATAGGTTGTGCACATTTGGAAGTTTCTCTCTTTAATAGGAATGATGAGGGCACAGAGACGTGGCTTGTCAGCGGCGATCAACAGATGAAGCGACTTGATATTTGGCAAGGTGATCGAATAGTAGCAATGATTCGGGATTTTGGGGACCACGAGGTAGATTTTTCTTCTACCCTTACCTTTGACCTCGCAAAACAATACTTTGGAAACACCTCTAACTAATAAACTTATGGCAGTATCAAATCAAAGTCTTCCCAAACACAAACTGGTGTATAGTCACGGCACTAGCAACCTTTTTTGATGAATGGAGGACGACTCGTGTCGGTTTGGCTTTATAGCCTTGACGTCGACTTAGTGGAGACGTCAAAAATGGGACGGTAGAAAGCTAATATTCGCCATTGCTGTGGTTTAATCTAGTGGGGACTCGAAACGAGGGGTATCAGGCTCAAAGTGTGGAGGGAAGCCAGGCGGTAAATCTATAAATACTATCGGTGTCTGGAACGAGTCATGTTTAGGAATTTTAGGGCGGGGCGTAATGAGGGATGACGGGAATCGGCGAATTTATGGGGACGAGAGATATTAATGACGAACTTATCCATGATCAAATTTACCTTGACACCACTGCTCGTAGCTGTAAAGCCTCATGAAAGCGGTAGGACTCATGCGAGACTTGGCGTACATTTTTCCAACAGTTCGTGACACAGCTAGTGTTGAGACCTCATATCTCGTGATAAGGTGCATATGAATTTCCCGTCTGGTCAGAGATGGGGCTGTCGGAGGTTAGTCGTTGGAATGTACAGAGGTTATGGGTACTTCCTCTTCCAGCTGACCGAGGGCGAATGCTGAACATCTGTCAGTGGTGCCCTGTACGAACCTGGGGGTGAAATTCAGTCACGAACCTGGGAGGTACGAGAAATGTCTGATGAACGGTCGAAAAATCCATTGACAAAGGTTTCACAAGCGCAAAGTCCAAAAAACTTACCAAGACACGATTCACGAATGGGCCGAAAGGTTACGGGTTTACCCGCTGCCGGCTGTCTAGGCTGACCTCCACACTCAGTAGATCGCCTAATGAGGGAAGTCATGATGAAAATGGGACGCGTCAAAGCGAGGAAAACTAAGCGGAATCTACACCGAGGCGATCAAACTTTTGCGCGGGAGTCCTAGTCTCAGATGACGACAACAACCCAGAGGTACAATGGGCAGGCGTGGCATCAGGAAAATGCTGGCCTCTGAGACGACACAGATATCTCGGAGTCCATTAGGATGTCTAGGGCTTAGGCACGTGGTGGCCGAGAATGAGGAGGAATTTGCGCCACGGTGTACATATAGCGAGTTTCTGGACGGCCCGGCTTGGTAAAATTCAATACATTGGTGAAATCTGAGGCGGTTCAATCATTTAGGTAGGACTAGGGTTATTTTACTTACATGGTAGTTAAACCGATCCAGCCTGGTCCTAATCGTACTCAAGCTCCCACAGGAGTCCAGATTAGTTACGGGATTACCCGTTTCTGGTTCTCTGGGCTGACCTGCGTGCCCAGCCTTGCATCCAATCAGCGTGTAGCAAAAGGTTTAGCCTTTTACACTGGGCAAGATCCATTGGTAGTGCTAATGTAAGGTGATTGTCAGGGTACACTTTGTGTTGGCACAATCCAAATGTTATTTTCATTCCCGTAGAAAAATATTAATTATTTCATGGTCGCTTGCGTGCAGTGACCGTTTGCCTCAATCGTTAACAGGATGGTGCTAACTACCTAGCACGATCATATATATTAATTGTTCAATAACCTGATCAGGCGCCTTGAGACCCATGCAGGTTTTCATCGGAAGATGTGAATTTTAAATGACTCAATTTGACGATTAGAACAGTTCACACTCAGATTTAATCTATAGATACCACTCGAGGTTAACCCTTACGGCGTATAACCTCTTCCGTGCATACCCACCACAGGGAAAAGCGTGAAAACCCTATGGTTATCCGAGTGTGCTTTCGCTATCCCACAAATACAATATCACCGCGAGAGAGACAGTGGTTTGTAGGTTTTACTGGATTCGAACCGGCTTTCTCTTGTCTCAAATGGAGTAGGTGTTCAAGCTACCCAGATTCTACCTGGGAGAACAGACCGAATGGTATAACACTGCATCATCCAACCCTAGCATGTTATAATAAAAAGTTAAACACAAACAACTTAGTGATGAGTCTGTCATCAAGCTTCACCTCATGACCTGATCTGCTCTCCCCTTCAGCTTTCAATAACATTGGTGTATCAGCGATCAATATAAACTTATGCTATAGATTTGAAGCGTGTGTCCAGTGGGGTTTCAGTGGGTAGTATGAGAGTAACATATAAGCCCCATGAAGTCGTATCTCGCTAAAAGTTACGATGCATCTTGTAGAAAGTCCATGATTTGTGCGCGTAAAATATCTCTATAGTGTAGGAAATTTTAACATTCATAAAGATCTATCACTCCTTTTCAATTCCACCGCGATATGCCACTGAAGTTTTGTAGGGGCGATGAAGTGAGCGCAGCTAATCCCAGGGTCTCCGTGGTGAAGCGATTCATTAGGTCATCGCCCTTAGTCAGTCTATCCCCGTAAGGCGCTTGTACGCTCTTTCTAACCACAGGCTCAAATACGTGGGTTTCAGTGAATATGTCCCATTCCGCGTCTCCTCCACAAGTCCCGCTAATAATACCACTCGTGAGGTTTCACAACGCCATACAATTTGACTTGCCTCTGACCTCCATCTTCTACTATCGTCGTATATCTAATCAAAGGTTATTGTGAGTGTTCCTCAGATGGGGAAACTTGAAAAACTATTGGATGTGAGTCTCTCCTGATATCGATCTCATGATTTGATCTAAAGTCTTCTTTTTGTCATTTAAGTCTATGAGCTATTTAGCTCCGGCACATGATCAGTGCCTTGTGCACATATCTGATGACTATTGACTTTATAGAAATTCATTCTCTAGATTTCATTCGCGAATTTTGCTCTTAGGTGTATTAATTCATACCGAAAAGTTGACCTTTCTCCATGAGCGTTCAAAGAAGAGAAATTGAAAGCCTTTGGTTTTCCATGCATGACAACGGCATGCATGGATACGAGCACCGCGAGTTATGTGGTGGAGCTTTTCCGGATTCAAATCAGCGATATCCCATTTCAAGTAGGCTATGCGTTCAAGCCATTCAGGCTTTACTTGCTAGGTCAACCTGGATGATTTACTGCTGCAACATCCAAACTCGACGGCAAATAAGATGATGCACGAACCTTTGCAATCGAAGGCTTGGCGCGCATATTGCAGTTCAATGTGAAGACTCCTTCCCAAATTTCGAAATCCCACTCCTTTCAAGATTGTTTAAAGTTTAAGTATCACCATGTCCATATTTCCTGACCTCTCACGCATATCTCAAAGGTCTACCTTACCAAATTTGGGCGTTAATTTTTCTTATTTCTAAAGGATATCTAGAGTCCAGCTCAGGCAAGAACCGAGTAGATAAGAGGTTCATTCACTGAGATGAGGGCGCATTACGTTGTACTAGTAGATTCGATAAGGCTCCAGTGGGAATCGATCTCTTAAGAATTGAAGGTTGATGTGATATGGATTCTTTGATCACTGTTCAATAGATCAACTTCTTCAGTATAGCGTACTTTGAATGAACTTGGTTCTAGGAGTTTATATCACTCCCAGGTTCGAAGAGGACATCGTGGACAGGCGATCTATCTCTGCTCCAGAATCACTCGATTGCGAGAGTGCAGGTGATACTTTAAAAGCTGGCCCTGTCAGACCAGGATCAGAGCCCGATGGAATCTGTATTCCTGACTTAGTATCTCGTGATCCATGTAAGTTTCATTCTTCTAACTTGATCGTGAAATTATTTTCAAAAGAACATGCCAAGCTAGTACCTGACATAATTTGTGATTGGCTCAGGAAAACCTCGGCGTTTTGGGTAATTTTCAGCTAGAAAATACTTGGCGTACGCGTAAACGACGCGGTGAACTGGTATTGAGTCGCTTTAGGATTATATATTGGCTACAACATGTTTGAATTGTAAATTTTGATGTAAGGAAGCTATTTCTAGATATTAGCATCATATTTCAGGTAGTAGATATGTATAGATGTATAAGCTGACGGAAAGAGGAAGGAAGACAGACAGATAGATAATTGCATCTTTTTATTAACTTCAATCGAAAGCTCCTGTGCGAGCTACTCTTCCAGATACCTCCAGTCTCAATCATTAAAGCTTCCGAACCAGCTCAAAAGGTTAGATAGGCCCACTATGGGAGACGCTGTAGTCCGCGCCCCGGTGGTGATCTCCGGTTTAGTTGAAGTAGCCCTGGCACCATTCCACTTGGGAACGAGAAGCCCCAGACCACATCCCGCGCGGAGACTAGGCAGTGGATGATAGAGGAATATCTCACGCCTAGGTTTTTTTAAAGGACACCACCGAGAGGGTTTGTTCTCCAATCCCTTTAATAACTTCGTCATTCTGGAGTGAACCCATCTCGAATAGTCTGACACTAAGCAGGGTTCCTGAAATATGAAGAGGGAATATTCTCAAAACCTGTCAGTGATATTCCCTGCGAACCTCCAGCACTCACTGTAAAGTCTGCAGAGCCGAGATTAAGTAACAAAGTCCTCACTTCGACGATGATTCCTAATTGCTTTCGCCGTCTGTGTCGTCTTCATCTCTCAACACACCCCCCTATCACCATTATCATGAAGCTGACTACGGTCAAATCAGATGGCCGGGTCGAAGCCCTTCTCATCGCTAATCCTTGATCATGGAAGAAAGGCCATCCGATGAGTTTCCGGAGCGTACTCAGCACCCGATGCGGAGATGGCGGATTGGATCAAGGTGGCCTCAAATGTTACAATGAAGGGGGATAAAGATGAATATACGCTATCAAACAGTGGATAGTTTGAAGGCGATTAATGTCAGATATAAAATTTAAGGAGTTAGGTTTACAAAGCTTGGAGTTACTTGTTTCGGAAAAAAGTGTTTCGCTTGGGCTGTAGCAATAAGAACTCTATCTGTTCTGACTAGAGATGTTTCGTTCCAAACCATGAGAAACTTGGTCTATGGGGACAAGTTGGGGACACATAGAGCATTTGCCATTTTCTAGACGTACATAATCTAGATAGTATCAGTAAGAGAAATGGCAGCCAGGAATTAATTGACACTTTTTACTTTTACTTCATACATTTTTCGATTGACTCGTAGAGTCTAACATACACACCTCACGTGGTCCCGGTGTCTAGGCCTCTTTTTTTGAATCATATTGTATTCAGCTATCTAGCTATGACAAGGTGTCTAGGCCTCGCCTGGCTGGGGTTGCAGGTTTTTTGAGGCTTTTTCCCGCGCACGCAATTTTCATTGATACGATTTTTTTTGAGTAGAAGATTCCGTGGAAAAGGTGGGCGAATTCCACGGGTAAAGACTGAGCTTAATGGCTATCTATTGCGGGCAATATATCAATGATTTTTCAAGTGACAATAGAGGAGAGGAGCTCAATATACTAGATAGTCAATGACTCAAGTGGTAAAATTAACACACGTCTCTCTCTCTATCTTCATCAACCTAGAAGATAAAACTAGAGCAAGATCCTCATTGTTCGATGGAAAGTATTGAAATTGTAAACAATATAAAAATAGCTAAATATTTTACAGCTTGTAGACAGCTTTTCGCAATCTTTAGCAGTCATAGACCCAGTGAGGACTTAATTTTTTTTCTATCCTATTCTGTACCTTCACGTATTAAAGTCTTCTGTCGGGTTTCCTTGGTTGTTGAATTCGCTTTAATTCCAGTCATGAAGATGAGACGAGGCATAATGTGTACTTCTGATATTTAAATTGCCCCAGCCCTGCTCATGGAAAAGCTTCACTGAGAGTATAATCAAAACCAATAGTCTAGCACATCAATTAACAATTTTATATAATTTAATCCAAAGATTGTGATTATTGATTGCCTTACATCTAGGTTGATGTATTCTTTTACATTTCATCTGTGGGCAAAAATTACAGCAAACAAAATATATTCCCTTCGGTGTAAGCTTTTACAAAGGCTTAAGGATAAATGATATGAATATCCTTAATAACTGAAAAAATCAAGTTGATCCATAGATATTTTGCGTCATCACTCTCACGATAAATGAAAGTTGCTGATCATCTCTTCAACTATATCTTACTTCTATTAATTGAAATGGTCAGCAAAAATAAAGGGCATCCCTTGTAGCCTTTAGAAATCCTCAAAGTTATACATGGTCTAGCTTATTTAGTGTAAGGTTTTATTGATCTAGCTGATAAGAGATTAACCTGGACGGACTTAGAAAGATGATAGACCTAGATCTACTCAGGTTTTATCTGTTGGGTCACCCTAGGTCGATGCGGGCTGATAGGTTGAATAGATGCACAAGTTCATGTTTTGTGATTGGTCAGAGATGTTTTCATTACTCTATTCTGTCAATTTCACAAGAACATTTGACATTAGCTTGATAGTTGGACCTCTTCTTGAACATCTATTGCAGAGGAGCATTTATTTTCAACTCTTTGGAAGATAAATTGCATAGAATCTAAGGATAAACCGCAGGTAAGATATCACCGGTCGGCGTTTCCATGATGAGGTCAATGAAATGACTCTAAAACAACAAAATCGTGAATTTATTGGGATGCATTTTCGTGACCGATCACTAGACTCCTTATTCTTCATAACTTACACCTATAATCAATTATCTTGGCTTATTTAGTCTGACTTCTCTCACGGACCAGAAAGAGTTAAATTTGATAGAATTTTCATTTAGCTTTAATTATTTTGTACAAATAAAAGAGGCGAGTGAAAAATTGATAGGATAAACTTCAGTAAATAGGCAGTGGAAGCCAATTTAAGAGGTTTTGGGTTAACTTTCCGCGCGGAAAGATTACCCAGAAGATGATTTTTAGGGGTCCTTTATCGAAGTTTCACGACTTTGAAGTCAAAATTTCTTTTCTGTCTATCCATACAATCTTGCCATTCCCAATTTTCTTGATCTGGAACCATGTATAGGCGGCAGTATTTAACAATGGTTGTTTTATTAAGCTTATTTTGTAGGCACCTTCATGATGAGAATCATAGACCTAGGGATTCTCAGCGTCTTTCCGCACCTTGATCTGCCTTTCGTGTTCAATGATCTGTTTGCTCCAGCTACAGTTTGGGTTAGCAAGATGAGCTTTGTGTAGATTTCGAGGGAATTCAACTTGGCACTCACTATCGACTTGGGAAAAATCTCCCTTCTTCTGGGAATTTATCGCGATACTCTCGCTCGGCGCTGAGCTTAAACATCAAGGCCGTAATACCAAAGATTACTGCCCCCATGACCGCAGTGTTTGCTTTCCAGTTTTTTGGCTGCGAATACCAGCCACCAGCTGGTGACCAGACATGCTTTGGGTAACTTGAGATTACATAGTGAGATGAAGTTAAGCGTAGTTGCAAAGTAGTTGGTCGACTTACGGGATTTTACTACCAGCACCCTAATGTCTGTTAGCACTGGATCATCTGAGGGGTGATTGGTGAGAGTTACCATCTTGAATCTAGGGTTAGGCCTTAGAGTTGTGGTGAATTACGTGCAGGGTGAGGTAACCGGTTGACGCGGTAGTTGATATGGTAGTTCAACTGACACATGTCACTCAACCCGGAATTCATCAGAGCCGCACAATCATTGAAAAAAAGTGTTATTAATTCAGGTTCTCCCTGCAAAACCTTTATTTTCTCGATTGAAGCAAATATTAAAATTGGATAGCTTAGGAGAGGAATCCCGGCCTTGTAGGAGGTCTGCTTGTCGGCGTTTGGACGCCGAATAATACTGATCTTTAATGCAATCACCTAACTACTACGCCATACGGCCAGTGCGAAGCTTATGCAGTCGTCTATACAAAATTCCCTGCAGGCTCAATTTCTATCACGTGGTTGAGATGTCAAATTTCTGAATAGATACACGGCAGAATTGCTGCGCAACATCATAGCTCTTCGCTCGCCGCCAAAACCCTTATCGGTCAATCCGAGGAAATCTAACGATGAGAAGTGTACGGCTCTCAAGATATCATGGCCCTCGACTGTGTCATCTCCGGCCGGCCCAGCAACACTGGCTAGGCTTTGCTTCGTCCAGTAAAGCTCCGAATGCTCTAGATACGGCGTCCAGTGTGAGCGCGGACGAGGCTACATCTTCATTCTTGTCATTTGCCAGCCGTCCGGCTTCGAGTCCGTATCCATCTCCACTTCCTCAACGCGCTGCACATTCAGCCAAGCTTGCAGCCCTACACGCGCGCCTTTCTCTTCCGCGACGCCTTCCACTCGAGACCATGGCGCGCACGCTAGTTGACCCGTCGGCCGACTCGAATCCTGACTTCAACAATGCATCACTAGCACGTCTTGGAGGAAGCCTTGTCTCCTATTATGTCGGAGAGTCACTTATTTGTACATATCCTCGCCTTCCCATCAGCGTTCTCTTTGCCGCCGCTTACGCCTACAATGGACCTAATACTTTGGAACTGATTGCGCGGGAATGGGGAGTTGAAACTGCTGCCTGCCCTGGATCGGAAGTTGATCCTGGCTTACTCCAATTCGCCAAACTTCCACCGGGCACCGATTTAAGCCAAGAAGGGGCCAGTAGTACCCGACCTGATCGACAATCTTATTTCCGCCGAGGTATGACGAGTCGACTCGTCTACGATGATGAATTCGGTGACAAGATCCCGCGGGCAGGCGTTGAGACAGCTCCACTGCCCAGCAACGCTGCCCACGCCCGATTTGTCAAGGCTGTCATAGGTGCTTTATATCTTCACGCTGGACAAGAGGCATCCAAAACGTTCGTACTCCAGCACATACTCTCCCGCCATCTCGACGTTTCTAGTCTCTTCCAGTTCCAGAACCCGATCCGTGAACTCGCACGCTTATGTAATCGGGAAAATTTTGAACTACCTGTGGCGCGCATCATCAGCGAGAGTGGTCGCTGGTCACGTTCACCTGTCTATATTGTTGGTGTTTATAGTGGTGCAGATCTACTTGGTACCGGGTCAGGCGCTTCGTTGCCCGAAGCTCGCATCCGTGGGTGCGTGGCTGCATTGAAGAGTTGGTATTTGTACAGTCCTGTACCTTGCGAGAGATCACCTAGTATGATGGAAGATCCGTCGAACAAAACAGAGTGGAAGCCGGTGCACATTGATCATGGAGAGATTGTCCTCTCGTGATGATATTAATCTCAAAATATTAGTAACTTGGGTGTGTTTTACACGGAGAATAAGGGGGTTTAAATCAGGGAAGCATGGCAGACTGTAATGGATTACAAAATAAGTTTTCGGGAATTACACACAAGCTGCTACGACTCAAAATTGCTCCCATGTATTATTTACTATATGAGAGAAGACTTTTGTTATGCGGCTGCCAAGTGTAATTGTGTAGAAGTAGGCACAAGGTAACAGGGGCCTCTGATATGCTTACTATGTCAATAAATTCTGGACAAAAATTTCAAGACCGTGGGATAGAAGCAGACTATCAATAGATACCGAATCACGGGAATTAGATATGCTTCATCCAAATTTTACATTGCGCATTCGAGGAAGCTGAAGTAAAATGCCGTTGTAACCAAGTTACTATAAACTTCGCTCCCACATAATCACATTACATGCTCAATGATAAATAGTACAAGGGCGAGGGAAGATTTGCTCACAAGAATGAATCCCATCTTATCTTGATTGTCCTTTAGGTAAGTAGTACCAGGGATCTGTACAAGAATCCAGCGTAGTAGATGTCGTGGCTAGATGGTGCAGTGGTACACTGCCGGCTAGATCTCCAAATTGGCTCCCACTGAGCCGAAGCACATTAGCTGCCCAGCACCTGAAGACAGAATAGCGATTCAAGAAGGCGCCACGCAATGCTTCCGAACATTATCTAACTTCTAAAACTCCTTCGAGCGGGTGCATTTTTCACGAGAAATGACGACTCTCGCGAAGAAGTGCTCAGAGGCCGGGCTTGTTCCTCTTGCCTGCTTGTTGTTAAATGTAAATTAATTAATCAAGCAGGCGCCACGCAAAGCTCCACTGGAGATGGGCTCAAAATCAAGCATGCAGATCTATATGCGGAATGGTATTCAAAGTTCCCGCGGTCGGCCGTGTACAGACGTTCGAAACACGTTGACCTTCAGAACTTCTTTTGCCGTGATCAGCAACAATCCGGCAAAGTTAACGTGGTTAACGTTAAGTAATCAGTACAGCTAGATGATAGAGTGATCAATCCCAACTTAAAATTACCACTGTATAGTAGCTTTTAAAGTAAAGATGGGAATTCCAGCCAGTGATCTATTGGGCTGTTGCCAACAGAGGGAGTGTTGTCGTCAAGCTCACATCTGGATCACATGACTTGAAATGGCGAGTATTAGGTGTTACCAACAGGACAAATAGGCGAGAGAGATGTTAACTATACTATTTGAGTTTTAGACTATCTAGCATATTGAGCTCCTCTCTGGCCTAGGCCATACCTCGCCTCTTTTGTCACTTGAAAGATCATTGATATGTTGCCCTTGATGAATTGCCATTCAGCTCAGTATTTACCCGTGGAATTCGCCCACCTTTTCCACGGAACCTTCTACCCAAACAAACAAAAAAAAAGGTAGCAATGGAAACTGCGTGCGCGGGAAAAAGTCTCAAAACCCTGCAGCCCCTGCCAGGCGAGGCCTAGGCCCCGGGTCCACGTGAGGTGCGCATATTCATCTATATCTCCCTTCCTTAACAGTCGAGGCCATCTTGATCCAATCCGCCATCTCTGTATCGGGTGCTGGGTACGCTCCGGAAACTCATCGGATGGCTTTTCCTCCATGATCAAGGGTTGGTGATGAGTAGGGCTCCGACCCTACCATCTTTCTGACCGTGTCAGCTTCATGATAATGGTGATAGGAGTGTGCCTTGAGGGTTGAAGACGATACAGACCGCGAAAGTGGTTGAGAATCCTCGTCGAAATGAGGACTTTGGTACCCAATCTCGGCTCTGCAGACTCTGCAGTGAGATCTGGAGGTTTGTAGGGGACATCACTGACAGAAGTTGAGAATAGTCCCCCTAGCTGTATGGGAGGCATAGGAGAGGATATACTACTGGTATAGGTATCCTTGGCCTGTAAGTAGGAGGACCTGCATGTCCCTCATAGTCAGAGACTCATGCAGGACAATGAAATGGATTAATAAAAAAGCGCCGTGTCAGATAGATCTTATAAAAGCAATCACATAATCTTAACCAAATTAGGAATGACGCCTCCAGGGAGCCGTATAAAATCCGAATCCAGATCAGTGTAGCAGCAGTTTGTAATAATATATTATTGATATTTCACTCTTACTTAATAGTTATCACTGTAGCGGACCTACGATCCATATCCTTCTTCTTCACGTTAAACTTCAAGCGCTATCCTATATCCACTCACGTTGACTGTTACATCCAAAGCGACAATTCTTAGACTCATCACAACATTGTTATCACAATACGCAGTGGGCTAGATGAGCAGAGACGCTCGGTTAAAGTGTTAACCAGGACGACAAAATCATCTAATGCAGGGTAAAGATACTCATCAAGTCGCGCAGCGAGAGAGCTCTACATTCTGTGTAGACTTGTCGCCAAACTAATTATTGGACGTGTTGAGTTGCTGGTGAAACGCCAGCTGAGATAAAACCTGCGCCGCCGTCTCAGAGTCAGAAATTTTCAACCGATCGAGGCATCAGATCGCACTAGGGAGAAGCCAGAGCTGTATCCGTATCCACAGGCCTGGGGAAAGTCCCAATGGAAGCAGAGCATGCAGGCTTCAAGGAAACCATGGAACATACAGCGACGATGTGGAGATCCCTTGCACCAATAATCGTCTGAAAGTACGGTTAGGAGTCGTTGGGCTCAGAAACTGCTGGAATGTCTACAATTAGAAGAGAAAGGGATCAAAGGTTTCAAGGACGCGACGTGACCACCGACAACCCTCAGTTTGCTCGGACCAAGCATGAGTCGGTGCTAGCGTGAAGACTTGACTGGCCGTTCATCGAGCTCGCATGAATTTTTCATACGAATGATCAGAGTCAACTAGTTCCAACCTCATACTATGCATGTGAAGTTCTTCAGTGACGCAGAAAATAGGAAGGGCTTAGCACGTTGGCCAAAGAATTTTCGACACATTCAAGATTGAGATCTTTCCACTCTGTCTCATCTGCATAGCTACCCAAGATGGATGCACTCCGCAATTTTTAATAGGAACTTTTTACGTTGTATGATTCATGATACATATTCTCTTGTGACTTACAGCTCTCGTCGACTCCCACTCTTACTACAATAAAGAGTATTGTTGGCAAAATGCAAAGTGATTCTCGGTTGGCCTAAACGTATGTACACGTAGGGTTAATGCAATGCAAAATGAAAGGTACAAAAACTGAAGTATGCATGGTCTCTTGTATCTATCCTCTCTTAATGAAGATTGGGAACGTAGAATTCGCGGTGTTGGCTGAGTCATCAAGACAATGACTCAGCAATGGAGAAATGCATCACAATCAGTGAATAGCAAATTTAACTACTTTCCGACAGTAATATATATTTTTTGCTGTAAAGAAACCGCTAGACACAATCAATAAATAAGCATCACGAAATTTGTGGTTTATCTCTCAACCTCTCTTCCTACTCTACTCAAAACGCCTCGTTATTTAGAATGAGTCATTCTTATTTGACTCTCAACAATACTATGGACACTGTAACCGCAACATATTGCACTTCAGCGCGTCAAAGTCGAGTTCTCTGAACAGTTAGATTTGAAATGTCCAACACATGGGTAAATTTCTGAGGCGGTCCGGCCATTCAGATGCTCAAGGTCCCATTGGATTGCGGAGGGTGTCAATTGCCTAGCACGCCAATAACCCAGCAAGTCAAGTTGTAACCGTAACTCTCTAATTAATCAAAGCGCCGGAATAATATCCGCTTATCGGCAGAAATAATGCTGTCTGTTACCACCATAACTTCGCAGTGGTACTTGCAAATGAAATCTGAGGCATGAGTGCTCTTCTTGTGAATGGAGTCATCTTTTCTGTAATTTTCTTTGATATTGTGTCATATCTAGATAGCTGCATACGCAATTAAAATCTGATGCAAAAAAAAAAACTGTCTATTCCACGCACCAACTTCCGCTAAGACTGTTACTATAGATGTTACGTGAGAATTGGCAGTAGATTCCTATCATTGCTAAATAGCTGAATATAATGTATCAAAAAAGTTAAAGGGTTTGTTAGAATTTAGAATAATTGAGGCTATCAAGTAGGCCATGTTGTTGATACACACGTGACTACAAATTCTGTACTTAGTTTCACTTCGGTAGTAACTTGAATTAATGTGCTCTACAACCTCAATGACTGAGGGGTCATTATTACCTTCATAGAATTGGAAGTATGTATAATTTTGGATCCTATTTAATTGATTAAATACGCAGCCTCTACCTCTAGCTCTTTCGTAATATAAAAAACCAAATGAACCTATACCATTGAACAGAGAAGACTTTCAAAAACTAGGACGATTTTGGTAAATTTGGTGTACACATTTTGGTCTTAGATAAGTTTGAAAATAATGTCAACTGTGAACTGACTATAAATGGTTGAGTAAAGAATATCAAAGTAAATGGCTTTGTAGCCTATATTGAAGTGCTAATTATGGTAAATGTAGAAATAAGCTCAAGATTTTCGAAAGGCATTTTTGATCTAAAGAGCCGTGAGCATTTCATAAATTTAGACAGTAAAACCCAATCGATAGAAGCTTTGAATTTAAATCTGATGGGTTTCTTGGGTTATTTAGATTCAATTCGCACCGCTAGAGATAAAAGAAGATGCGTGTTTCGTGGCTGAAGAAAAACTATCATTGTTGTCCTCTCGACAAATTCCAATTCTGGATTAAATTTCGAGAGCTACCTTTGGTTGAACTTGTACCAAAGAATAAACACTAAACCTAGGCTCGGTAAAAGTCTTAGATTTATTATAGTTTGTACTTGTACGTTGGAATCCATCTACCTTATTTCATGTTTTCCAACTGCAAAATTAAGGAAGTTATAAAAAATACCTCGTACTTTTGACACCATGAGTATCGAAATAATCATGATCCATAAAATATAAAATGAGATTAATAAGAGCGATCTTATCCCAATTATTTGCTCTCAGATGAACTATTCAAAAGAGACAAAATTATTAGGTCAGACTAAGTACACTACCATGTAGCAAGAGTCTTCTTTTTAAAAGGCCACTAAAATCAGCAACTCTCTCTTCATTGGCGTGGTTATGCGCTTGTATAAGTACTAGCAGGAGAAACCCTTCAACAATCATTGTAGGTGTGTTACATAGAAGCTGTCCCGATTCAGACCAAAGCATAGATGAAGCCACGGTAAGTAGTATGATTACTACAGCAACTGACCCAACGGAAGCATAGCGATGTCCACAAGCGTTGCCAATAGAAAGTGAAATGCGCTCTGCTAGCCCTAGAGTTCGTGGTTCTTCTTGCTTGTATAAAATATGAAGCTTTTCTAAAAGGATGCTATCAGAGGACGCGAGCTTTTGGAATTGCAATTTTGTATAAGATTCTTCGCGAAAATATAATGAGCGTAAGATGAATCCGTCAATAAATCCGATAAGTCCCGTGAATGTACCAATAATGAGCCACCAATTATCATTAAATTTCAGTGCTGGGCCGGAAATAATCCATGCAACAGTGAAAAGTAATGAAATCACGACGCCAGCTCCCGAACCCATAATATCAGCAAACCCATCAATGAGTCTTTCAATGAACGAGCGTGGGGCAGCAGGAATGGTGTAAATAGGATTAGGTTTTTGGTCACCTGTCAATGCACGCAACTGAAGTTCGATGCCAGCATCAATCTTAAGTGCTTGTTCTAGACATCGACTTAATTTGTCCTCTTGGTGTTGTTGGATATTTTGCAGGAAGATCGAAGTAAATGTTAGAGCGAGTGCCGTAGCAGTGTTGATATATAATTGCCATGTATTACTAAAGCCTAGAGATGGACCTACAGCCACCCAAATTCCAATTCCTATCCAGTAGAAAATAAACGACCATATAGATCCAAGAGCCTGTGCAACTATGGAACAAATACTAATCCAACTTAATCGTATACCTGTTGGCTTTGCAATGAGCAAGTAATCTTGCTCGTCTGAGTTATCATCAAAACTTTTACTGTCAATCATGCATTCATGTTTTTCGTTACTATTGCCATATTTTGACTCGGGAATCTTGGCGAGAAGACGCGTACACGTCTCTCTGCGTGATTGTAGCTCCGCAAGAGTAGTAAGTAAGGCCTGATTGGCATTTTGTTGCTGTCGGATGAGAAGTATGTCTGTAATGTATACCTGAATGGAACTTGCATTCTGAAACATAATTTGCCATGTATCTGTTGCACCAAAAACAATTCCTAATATAAGCCAAACCCCTATTAAGATGAGACTGATGAAAAATATTCCACTTGAGCCAGCCATAATAGTAATCTTGTCAAAACAATTTGAGCTTGGTAATGATTTAGTCTCATTTGGGGTAGAGACCCCTTTGATTTTTTGGGTATCGACAAACTTTTCACTACCAGAAAAGTATGGGGCATCTCGTACCATTTCCTCGGTCACAAATTGCGTATCTGCCGCCGCAAAGCAAGATGTGCGTTCTGGAAATATAGATTTTTTGATTGATTTAGTTGTGAGAGGCATTTTTGCTATATTTTATCTGGATGATGATTAAATGGAGATAAGATAATTTGCATAAATGAGATAATTTGAAAGAGAGCCTGCCGGAAAAGATTGTCCGGAGTGGTGTACACAGTACAGTTACTTGAATGGGTGAATGAAATAACACAAAGTAAGCGATAGCTGAAAGTACAAAGAGCGAGATCCCAAGAAATAGGAAATTTTGTTTAAAAACGAAAGAAAAAAAGAAATAATTGTTTAGTGAAGAAGAGATGGGGAATGACACCCAATATAAAGGGCCTTAACGCAACTTCAGCGCTGCAATATTCCTCTTTCTGAAACACTTGACAATATATATAGACATCCCGACAACAGTCCAGGTACACTGTAAATACTCTCAAGCTGAGAAACATCCATCAATGGAGATTGTCCGATGTTTTAGGAATTTCATTTCATTATCTCTTAGCTCGGGCATGTTTTTAATTCGCCACCATTGTATCAAGTTCAACCCTTGTCATTCCTTGGTACCCGTTAGAATTTTCTCAATAAGCTCTCAATGGATAGCCCAGAAATCGAATCAAAGTAGCCTTTAATTTTGTTAACACACAATATGAGATTAACTAGTCATCTCATAATTTTGCGACTTAAATTGACAGGTGTTCAGCCCATATGCTTAAATTCATCTCAAAGTTATTTTCGCTGTCTCAATAGTTACCATGATGAATCCGGATGCAGGTTAGGGTAAGAACTATTCATGTGAATTTCAGATGAGCTGGTCGTGGGTTTTATCGCTTGGTGACAAAGCCTCCGCATAGTCATGATATGATGCAAAGCGTCTTGGTATCAGAACTTTGGTCTGGGGTAATCAATTATCTCCATCCTAGACGAGACATGAAACATCCAATTAGAGTATCGATACGATAAAGTAGATAATTTTGTTTCTGGGTATAATGAGAACAATCGCGATGAAGCGAAACCAAGGTGTGCAGTAACGACCAACATAATATGTTTCTAAAATGTTAATGACTACGAAGATAGTCATGGAGGAAATTGATTACGGCTGATGTATACCGTTGAGAAAGCTAATCAATAAGCGAGTCAACGGAAACTCCGCTGACATTTTTGTGAAAAGCGATTCTCCACACAAATTACAATTCTGCGAGTGAGCAGCAGCCAAAGTCAGTTCTATTACAGTCAAGTCACACAGAGATTTTGACCCAATTAATCATGTTTGAAGGAAGAATGAGAGATGGGAGTACTATATTATTTTTGTTAGTTTAATGAGAGTTGAGCTGCAGAGCTATGACAAATGATTAGTATTTTGGTCGGTTAATTGTGTTTTGTTACACTAATTGATTCAAAGACAGTCTACTACAATGAACTCTTCTCTGACCCACGCTAAATCTTGGACAGTGTATATATCATCTCTTGTTACGTGTAAAATCTCTGATATTTACTGTCCGTGAAGGACAGCCATCTAGATCAGTATATACCCATAAAACTCAGCTTCCTTTTCAGCAGAAACTACTCCCCATATAAAAATATAAAAAAGGTAGCAAAAGAAATGAGAATGCGAGAAAATTCCTCAAAAAACTGCAGCAATAGCTAGGCGAGGCCTAGATACCGGGACCACATGAGGTGCGCATATTCATCTATATCTCCCTATTTTGTAATATTAGAGGCCAACTTGATTCAATCCATCATCTCTGTGTCGGGTGCTGGGTACGCTCCGGAAACTTATCGGCTGGCTTCTCTATGGTCAAGGATGGGCGATGAGCAGGGCTTCGACCCTGCCATCTGATCTAACCATGATCACCTTCATGATAATGGTGATAGGAGTGTGCCTTGAGAGATGAAGACGATACAGACCGTTAAAGAGGATATTAATCCTCATCTAGGCGAGGACGAAGGTTTTGCTCAATGTCGGCTCAGTAGACTCTTCAGCGAGTGCTGTAGGTGCATAGTGGACACTGCTGAATCGTTGAGGTTTCGAGCCGCAGATCAGAATCTTTCACATGTAGGATGACTCTGTTGACTTTAGAGACACTAGTACTCCGGCTATCGTTTGTAAATGACCGTACGGGGCTGGATGGTGCAGTGGTATACCATTCAGTCCGTTCTCCCAAGTAGAACCTGAGTAGCTTGAACACCTACCCCAGTTTAGATAAGAGAAAGCTGGTTCGAATCCAGTAAAACCTACACACCATTATTTCTCTCGCGGTGATATTGTATTTGTGGGATGATGAAAGCACACTCAGATAGCCGCAGGCTTTTCACGCTTTTCCCTGTGATGAGTATGCATGGAAGAGGTTATACGCCGTAAGGGTTAACCTCGAGTGGTATCTGCAAATTAAATCTGAGTGTGAACTGTTCTAATCGTCAAATTGAGTCATCCTACTTAAATTACATGCCTTCCGATAGAGCCTACATGGGCCTCAAGGCGCCAAATCAGGATAATGAATGAATGATTTATCTATTTATTTAAATATCCGTATGATAGATAGCACGAGAGTGCTGGAACACGAAACTGCCATCCTACCGATAGAAATCTACCTGAAGCAGCAAAGGCTCCAATACGTTGGCCGCTCGAAAAACCTACCAGTTCAAAAGCTCATACAATCTGTTTGTAGTAATATCAAGCTACCCGAACGAGAGAGAGAAGACATTCGCGCCAAAACCCGAGATTAGATCTGGCAAACTGGGTGGTAATTTGTGGACAAGATCAGTCTAGAAAACGGCAGAAAGATGCAGGAAAAGTCGCAGCATACCAAGAATGGGGTAAATCCTGGAAAAAACCAAGGCGGCTCCAATTACCTCGACATAAAGCAATCGCCGAACCCGAAACCTGGAGAGCAGCCAAATTCTATCAGAACCGAAAGTCAGATAGATGGAAAATAAGTCTTCAGGAATCGCCATTTCTACTCCACCGAAATCTGACAAGGGCCCAAAGAAGTCTAGGGATGCAAATACGAAGCAAGCACATGGGGCTCAATTCGTATTTATATAGAAGAAAAGTACCTGGAGTCTACAGTCCAAGCTGTCCATGTGGCTACCAATCGCAGAACCCCAAGCACATAATTATGTCCTGCCCTCGATGGTCAAATGGAAGAGGAGAGATCTTAAGACAAGCCAAAGATCGGTCCTATGAAGCTATGCTAAACAATCCTGGAGATATCAAAAGGATAACACAGTGGATCCTAAATCATGGTTGGATAGAGCAATTCCAGATGACAAAGGCGGTCAAAATGCTGCTGAGGGAAAGGAACAGGTCATGCCTTTCTTGAGGTCAATAAAGCTGATGTGATTGGGTTACATGAAGGACACTATAGTGTGACTGCGCTTCCCAAAGGATACATTAGAAAAACATAGAAATTAAACAGGAAGGTTTGAGGGGTTTTTACCAAAAGGTTTCCTCCCATGTAAATTAGAAAGTATGATAGACACCTATATGGATCCATAGGGCGCCAAATCAGGATAATGAATTCAAATTCAAAACCGTATGTGTAATTTTGACAGCGCAAAACGGTCGAATCTTCTCCGCGTGTAGCCTTTAAGGAACAACACTAAATCACTAGCAGCCCAATCATGACAGTGGGAACATATCACCCAATACAGTCAGACCCCTACATCGCATTCCACCTACGGTATTTTACTGCCACACTTATTTCTCAATCAATCATACCGCCCCAGTCCTCCGCAGAGGCTGGCCCCTGCCCCCCCCCTACTCAATGTTCGAGGCGTCAAGACGTCGAAATGGCCCTGAACGGGCCATAATTATCAATTTCACCCACACAATAATTCGTAGAGCCAATCTACGAGGCGAGTCATCGAAGCTCGCCCCACCAACAAACTCCGTCGCCTCAAATTGTCGCGACCGAATTCCTCGCCGAACACGGCAGGATATTCCAGACGCGCTCTGCACAAGCAGAGCGTTTCATCATCGGGTTCTGCAAGCTGTTGGAACCAGTCACTGACGAGAGACTTCGAAAACTCTTTGATCAGGACTTACTTGCCCTTCAGGGCAAGATACTGGAAATTTTACGGGGCAACCCATCTCAAGCAGACGCCAACGCTCCCCCAAAAGCTGCAAGCGGCCATACTAACACATCTAACCCGGCTCAAGTCACAGAGCCTCCAAAACAAAGTCCTGCAAGCGTTACACGTCCAGTGCTGATCCTTGCCAGAGAAAAGAACAGACCGGCACCATCAAAGCCGTCTGCCACAACAGCAACTCTCCAGCCTAACCAGGGCTCGAACATAACCAACAACAACGCCACAGAGAAATCTTGGACCGAGGTGTTGGGAAAAAGAAACAAGCCAGCAAACCAAGTGGCTCCAACCTCAACACCCAAGCCAGTGCCAGTGAGGCCCGTTTCCGCGCCGAAGCCTAAAGCTCCAGCAACAAACCCCCAGCGACCTGATGAGCGCGTATTTTTGCGCCTCAAACCTGACCACCCGTGGAGACGTATGTCACCCCACTTCGTTAAAATAAGCCTAGCTAGCAAACTGCGTCTGGCCAACTCGACAATCAAACAGGTCACTGTCGTGAACTCAGGGTTCGCAATACAAGCCGAAGGGGAAGGAGCTAGAGGTGCACTTCTCTCAGGAGGAGCCATATTAGATAGCTCAGAAATGAAATTGGAAGCCGCCTCCAACTGGATATCAGTCCTGGCACCGAATATCCTAGACAAGCTCTACACTCTGGAAGGGCCCACCATAGTGACACAAGAGATGGTAATAGAAGAAGCAGCTCTCAAAACAGGAGTTAGACCAACCTCGGCTCGTGCTTTCGCAACTAGTAT